TGCTCTCTCTCCCTCTCTCTCCCCCAAAAAACTATGACATCATGTTTTTACTATAATTAGCTGTGCATAGACATAACTAACTCAGCTATATAACCTAGCTACAGCTGTAAGGTACCTCACTTTTTGAGTCTGCAAAAGTAACAAGGTATGTACCTGTTTGTGTGTAGATGTATGTGGAGGCAAGATTAAACTCTAAGTACAAATGTGTCCCTTACACAAATGTTAAGTAATTAATGAGCATTAGCTAGTAGTTTACATTACTTTTAGAGTCTGCAAGGTATGTATATACCTGTTTGTGTGTAGATCATGTATGAAGAGACAAGATTAAACTCTAAGTACCCAAAGGACATACTGGACTCCAAAGGGTGGAGTGGCCTCGCCTCATTTGGGAGTGTACTGTGTGTCGGGAGTATAAAGAGGCCGAAACACGCAGTGCATGATGAACAATGAGGAACTCTCCTGATGACCAGTTTGGATGTCTTTTGGCAGGGTTATGTATACTCAGATTCAGGAAAGAACTTAATAAAAGGAAAAAAAAACCGTTGGCTTTGCATTTCTTAATGCTCACACGAGTGCGGACAAAAGACCGCCCAACTGAGTTTATCACTCCTCCTTTAAATCTCTCTCTCTCTCTCTCTCTCCCTATTCTCCATTTCTCTCTCTCTCACACACACACACACACCGACCTTCAAGTTTGCGATGTTGGGCATCACAGTGTTGATCTTGTTAAACCTGCAGAATCCACAGAACACAGTTGAAACATTTCCCAAGACATAAGCAGTTTTTACACTACTCTCTCAATTGGTGAGCCCTAGTTTAAGGGGGAAGGGGGGGACAAATTTCCCTCTTGCCCCCTGGAAACGTTTATGACGGTGATCCAACACACAGAGACAGACACAAGAGTGGGCTACCAATACACCAAGCAGCAAGACCCATCACTCTTGCACTAACAAGAAAAACGAGACCTTACGTCACTATTAGTATAACTGTCGGTTCAGACCATATCCAACGTGTGTTACACACCTCCACATGACAAATATGTACACATGTAGCCACATACCAGTCTTTCTCAATACCCACAAGGAAAAGCCAACAGCTACACTACTAGCTACTACGTATGTATGTACACACCACTGGTAAGGCTATAAACACTAAACCACGCACATTAACAAAGTCCCAAACACTGTATATACTAAAACTGACAGTCTCATCTTATGCACCAACGAACACGTGTGTTAAATATACATTGGTGTGAAGTTCCAAACACTGTGTGAAGTTCTAATCACATTATTATACACCTAGACCACTGATGTTTGAAAACACATGTTAAAAACAATGCATACCAGACAAGCTGTGTATAAACGCTAGAGAACACGATATGTAAAATTGTGATGAGTCTATTCTATAGCTACATCTTCCACGAAGATAAACACCACCAGAAGTACACGTAGCCCGAGGTGTGAACTAACAAGCAGGTCGTAGATTGTGTTACAGCAGTAGGTCACACTCTGCAAGCACTCACCAAAAACAAACCTTCAGACCACCCATATTTCACACCTTGCCTCCCTCTCTACATAACTACAGAATTAGCGAGAGGCTAATAATCCAGGATAAGTTCTCGATACATGTGTGGTCATCAACGAGGTAAAAGCATAGCAAAGCATAGGCAAACAACACAACTACACCCAGGATATTACCAACTCATTTTAAGAAGAGCTGCCCTGGGTGGGATTCGAACCCACGACACTCTGCAGTCGAGGCAAGCACTCTACCAGCTGAGCTACCAGGGCAACTCAGCTGGAAGGGGTTTCAATCTACATGAAGAGGGCTAACCTCAAACAACTGTGCTATAATTATGTAGCTCAGTATACTCTCACTTAGCATAAACATGTTGATCTCACACATAATACTATGTAGGAATGTAAATTAGTAATGTTTCTGGCATGCAATTAGGCAGGGTGCAATGCTCGGGAACTTGAAGTGCAAGTTGGAGGACCACATTGTACATGGTGTGTGCGCGCTCCACCATCCAGATGCCAATCACTAAAACAATGCTATAGCATGCAGAGAGAGTGTGCAATAATACTGACCTGAGGTAGAGCGTCTGGAGACTGGAGAGCTCGTACACGACCGGAGGGATCTGTCTCAGTTTGTTGTGTCGCAGATCCAGCACCGTGAGAGATGTCAAACTCCGCAACTCGTCTGCCAGAGAAACAAACGCAACACATGAAAAGTATATTTATAGCATACTAGCCACAGAGAATAGAAAACCAGAAGTCACCCTCCACCCCCCATCCTCCACCCAAGCATATACATACACAGACACAAACAACACAGTCGCACACAACAAGGTAGGACACCAGGTGCCCAGCCTTGAGAACTGGGGCGGTGGGTTAAAGAGTCTTTTATGGCATGAGATCATTCACGAGCCGTCACCTTAGTTACACAATACCCAGACATTAGATACTGAGTAGTACATGTAAAGCGGTGCCTCTGAAAAGACAGGCGTTGTTGTTTGAATGTTGAAACTACAGTCATTCTGGGAAAAGGTGCAAAGAACAAGCACGTGTGTGTACGGCAGTGTATGAGCTCTGAACAAGCACGTGTGTGTACGGCAGTGTATGAGCTCTGAACAAGCACGTGTGTGTACGGCAGTGTATGAGCTCTGAAAAAGCAGATGTGCTCGTAATATTATGAGATGCTAAGTGTGCAGACTGTAGTTGTATGTGCTGACCTAGCACTGACGTGGCATTCCATTGACCTCACATTTCAAAGGGTATATCTCAGACTGAGACATTCAATACCACACACACACACGTATGTAGCTGGTACTCGTGGGTGCACTTTACTACATTGGACCTTCTAGTATACTTCCCAAGTGAGGATCACACACTCTAGTCGCAGTTCAATTATCGCATACTTGGAGACGCTCATACGAAATAAATTTGACCATATCCGTATATCCTGTACTGGGATAGTTCATTGTTAGTGGGTGGAGCCTGACCAGAGAAAAATGAGGTGCTCAAACCTTAGCTAGGATAAAATGGGCTAGGGAATCAAATATGGACAGTTGGTCAATCTTATAGCTGTGTTTGTATACATGATCGAATATGACCTCAGAGCATGGGAACAAGGATGCATCCTCAACACAGCAACTCCTAATATAGTGTTGTAGCAACTGTCCCAGGAGCTACTCCACGGGTGGCAGTTGAGTGTTCGCTGGCCCGTCAACGCGTGGTAGCGCGACCGATCGCTGATAATCTTGCTACAAACCAGTTAAAGCATCGTTCACCCTTGTATACTACGGTCAATATTGATGTCGGTTTGTGGTCTCGAGAGAGACGATAACGCACGAGGTGTACCTGAAGTACACTCGCACTGTTCTTTAACTAACACTTGGGGCCTATTGTGTGTGCCAAGGATGATATTACCTCTGCTACAGCTTATATGGACCACCACTGCGATGATGTCACTGTGATGATGTAATGGAATACAACTACCACTGTGATGATGTAATGGTATACAACCACGTGCCACTATAATAATAGAGCCACAGTGATGTAACCACAGACATGTTGATGTAACTGTACACCCTGGTCACCATGGCAACACAAACCCAAACCAGCCCCGCCCCCAAGAACAGGAATGCCGGGTGTGTCGGGAGGGATAAGAGGTACGGCAGTGGTGGGCCCTAATAGGGGATACCTTGTTAGTCATCTAGTCTCTATTTGGGAGGACAGAGGACACAGCCCCTTCCCTCCTCCCTCCCCTTCCCTCCTCCCTCCCCTTCCCTAGGAGATGCACACAAACGTTAACAAAAAGGAATGCTGGAGGCGGCTGGCAAAATAACACCTGACACATATTTTGGGTCCTTGTGCTCATGATCTCAATTAGCTATATTTACTTCCACTCGGCCAAAAATGTCAGTTTATTGCATTAGAGACAGAGCCGTACCGGGAAGGTCAGATAACAAGTTCTCGTTGAGTGCCAGCTTCTTCAGCTTCTTGAGGTGAGCAATCTCATGAGGAAGACTGTTGATACGGTTGCCATAGACGTAGAGTTCTTCTACCTGGGACACCTGGGAGGAGAGGGGGGGGGAGTAATGCAGGGAGAATAGGGTTAATTAAGAAGCTGTAGAATGTAATTAGATGTCATGGTGTCCATTAATAATAAGTAGAAGATAATGGGTTATGAAAAATGTTAAAGGTTTGAAAGAGGGTTATATACAAGGACAGCTGAAGAGTGGGGCAAGGGGGAAGGCTGAAAAGATGACGGTTTCAACGAGAGTTTAGAAAGAGAGAAGAGAAATAGAAGGGTCAGAGATAATAGGGTTAAGGGAAGGAGAAAAGAGTTCTGGATATGGAGTTAAGGGTGGAGAGAAAAGGGTTAAAGAGGGAAGGCTTGGAGCAAAGAGAGTTAAAAAGGAGATGGTTAAAATTTGGAGTCTGACAGACAAAAAGCTATTGGAATTTGGCAGGTGATTCAGTATTTCCTTCCTTGTCCCTAAGTAAAAGAGTGCTAATTGGATGACTGAGGCTCCAGATGCAATCTTCTGCAGTTCTGGCAGAGGTTGCTACTGTTAGGTGAGGTGGCAGGGGGGACATGCCAAGCTGGTGTTTCATTCAAGAAAGGAAGAGAGTGTGTGTGTGTGTGCAGTGACACTCACTTCCTTTATGCTGGCCGGGAGTTGAGCGAGCTGTGTGGAGCAGGGAGGGAGGGAGAGGGGGGAGAGGGAGGGAGGAAAGAGAAAAGAGAAGGAGAGAGTGAGTGAGGGAGAGAGGGAGGAAGGGAGAGAAAGAGAGGGGGAAGGGAGAGAGAGGGGGGAAAGTGATCAAACAGAAGCTGCAGAAATGTTGAGTGGAGATTCCCTATAATGGATGTACATACACACATCCAACAGAACACAGCAAGCTCAGGCACCACTACACACACACACAGACATTGTGTCCCCAGAGAAAGTTTACACCATCAGGACGGTGTCCTCCTGCATTAGTCTGGCCATAATGACACTTGGCCAAATCTCTCAGCGAGGGTTTATATGAACCACTTACAGCCTCTGTGTTACATACCGTGCTAACACATATAATTGTATGTTGCAGTGCTCAGACAGGACAGCATGAGTCCTGTAAGGGCTCATGCTGCCCTGTCTGGGTACTACATCAGATTTGTTGGATATCCCTAGGCAAATGACACGTATGAACCCTTCTTGCACACGTAGGATTGTATAGGCTGATTCCCCCAGTACCCAGCTTCATACTGTACATGTCGGTTGCCTAGGGATATCCAACAAAGAGCAATACTGACAGGACTAATATGAGTGGTGGTCGAGAATTTAGCTTTATTTTGATACTGAAGTAGTCCGTCTCACTATAATATGGTGACTGGGACGAAGTATATTCAGGTGGTGTGGAATAGTTAGAGATTGCTAAAACACAAGTGGCATAGTGTATATACATAAACAGGGCCATGACTATATGTACCTCAGACTTGCTGAGATCCAGAATGGGGGACTTCTCGTCCTTACATTTGCTGATCTTCTTTTTCACGTCCTGTGTAACCAAACATACACTCCGTATACACACAACTGTACTAGCTAGGGTGTACAGAAGCTTGCACGGCTCACGGGAGGCGGGCCTTTCTTCTCCGCTGTACTCTTCTTGGCGCTGGTAGCCTTGGCCTTTTGTTGCTCGCCGTCCTCGCTTGGCGGCTCCTGCACCCGCACCTCTTTCTTTCCTTTCTTCTTTCCCGAGCCGGACGGCGAAGTCGGCTCCATGTCCGCGAAGCGAGCGCTGCGCGTAGGCTCCTCCTCCTCCCTGCCTCCATCGGAACCCTCGGCGGAGCTGTGAGACTGTTTGAACAGCTTCCTGATCTTGGACGCCATTCCCCCTGAGCTACCGTCCGACATAACTCGTGGGCTGACGAGAAAGATGAGGTGTGAAGGTCAGAACAAAGATCGACTCCTAGATCCTGATCAACTTTCTATATTGACGTCTCATATTATTATCGTTTATTTAGAGAAAAGAATACGCATGCGCACATCACCAGGCGTGGGGGCCGGGCTGCTTGCTGCGATATAAACGCCGCCAGCTACGCAGCTAGCGAAAAGAGGTCTGCTGCTCCAAGATGAGGAACACATTCCTCGTCGCTCTCGGCCTGTGGCTAGCGCTGGGATCGTACGTTCACGCCCAATTGAAGACGGCTGACAAACAGGCGCTACTAGATCTTCACAACGCACGACGTGGTTCTGTTGGAGGAGCGAACATTCTGCAGAGCGTGAGTGGAGTGCTCAGTGTAATAATTATCGAGTCTAACACTCTATGTACAGGTGTGGGACCCAGAACTAGCTGCAACTGCACAGTCTTATGCAGAGGGATGTCACGCGGCCCCCAATCCCTCGGTCACCACGGAAGCGAGGGTACGCAGGGGGGAGAACCTCGGCTACTCACAGCACCAGGCGTCGCTCTTGGCAAATGCGGAGATGTCCATGGGAGCCTGGCTGAATGATCCACAGAGTCCCAGCTACATTCAGGTACAAATATAAGTATATACTTCGTGCAGCCAGAGAAGTGTTCATGGGTGCAGAAGTTTTTGACCATCAACCTACATAGAAGTACACATGATCTACAATAATGACTTAGTAGTAAAACACTAAACTAGCGTTCTGGGTTGTTGATGCAGATAGTAGATTTTCCTAAGAGACTAGCTACATAAGTACTCTCTTTCTCTATCCACACTCAGACTGTGTGGTGGAATGTGACAGCTATAGGCTGTGGAGCCTTCCAGTGCCCCCGGCTCTCTGTTGCTGGTGGAGGCCGTGCCGATAATGCCTCGTTCCTCGTCTGCTACTACCTCACAGTCTACATAGCCGGCATGCCTCCCTTTACACCTGGAGATATGTGCACCCGATGCCCTGAGGGCTACTCCATCTGTGACACCAATGGCTTGTGTGGTACGTTGGGTAACCCAATTACTGGTTACAGATTTTCATTGTTTACAATCCATGAAACTCTATGTGGTCCAAATCATGCTTGGCCCATAAATCGAGTACTGCAGTTGGGTTTCCATGTAGATTTCCCACCCAAAACATCAGCGTTCCTCACTCACTGAGTTCTAATGTGTCTTGTTTTCCCACATTACAGCCACGTCAACTTCTCCGCCAGCTGTGCCTGATGACACTACACCTCCCCCCACCATTACCAGGAGTAAGTCGACTATCATCATTTCTCCACCAATGTATCATGCGGCACTGAGACCATACATACTACCTTATATAGTGCATCTATGGCGTAGTGTATAGCAGCAATAGTGAGATGAAGGTGATACTGTACAGCAATAGATAAATGTGCACAAACAAGTCCAATCTCTCACAGTGGTGACTTATCCAATACTAATGCTGCCCTGGTACAGTGGAATCTCCAAGAAGGGACCCGAGATAGGGACGGCCTCTCTACAGCCCCATGCTCCCTTAGTGTATTATTTGACCTCCGAGTTAGGGACGAAGGGACAACATTTTTTGCCCCGTTGTGTCCCTTGCTCAGAGGTTCCACTGTATATAGCTCAGTTATAGAGCACCCTTTGAGTTACAGCTAGGGCAGCTCTAAAAGAGTGTCGTCCTTGGTGTTGTTGAATCGTTGTATTTAGACACTGGTTTATAACTGAATACATGCTGGTAAACACACTGACTGAATGAAAGGTGTCAGACAAAGACATTGACTTAATTAGTTGCATGAACAGTATATAGTAATTAGGACTATATGTAATTATCACTAAGTAAGGTCAGCAAAAATTTTGCAGACGTTATTTTTTACATAGTCGGCCAGTCACTCAGGAATAGCCTATAAAGAAAATATGCTCCTTTGTTGTCCCCATGGGAAATGTGACAATTTTTTTACCATTATCCATTGCCTTTACTGGAAGGTCGACCAGTAACAGAGCTATATGATCCAATGGGGGAGAGAGGGAGGGTCTGGAACCATGGGCTATTACTTGCAAGACTATCGGGTTATGACCGGAAGATCCAACCATTCCTGTCATAGCTACACACAGCAGTAGACTATTCAATGTCTGATGATGATTCCCTGCACCGACCTGCAGAAACCAGAGCCTTCCATATTAGTCCACGGTCCCATTCATAGATCTCTGATACTTGCGGGTTGTCATGTGATAGCCACACCACGGGCATGTGATACCGTCACGCGCCACTGATCTGATTGCTATCTCCTCTCTGTGTCCCCCACAGGGGTAACTGGGAGAGCTCCAGGAGCAGGGAGTATTGGTGGAGGTTCACGAGTATCATTCTTTGGAACAGGTGAGCGGTCAAGCACATCTGAGGTTTATGGAGCATAGAGTCGGTCACCTTTTTCCCTTCCTCCCCTCCCTGTCTTGTCTGTAGGGTTCAGTGGAGATCAACATACCGGGGCCAACGAGTTGTATCTCATATCCGGTGACACTGTCGTTCCGTGTGACGTACAAACCTACTACTCAACTGCGTCGCAAATTGTCTGCGATACCAGGTTGGAACTGAGTGTATGATGCAGGATGCATCACAACCAGCTGTGTGTAGGGCAGTTGTTTGGTATTTATCCTAGGGTAATATCCCAGCCTTGCATATGACTACGCTTCATGCTGACTGACTGAGTCCAATGAATCTCTGCATGCTCAAGTAAATTTAAATTTAAAAAAGAGGCATAGATGACAAAACTCCCTATCATAGCCCCATTCATCTATGATGCTAGGTGCCATGCCCATCCCTATTATACTAAGTACTACCTTCTGCATGCATACACTATATTTAATGCTTTGAATAAGAGTGCAACACGTGATGAAAAGTAAGTCTGATTTCAGGAATAGCTCAACCATTTCTCTCTCTGAAAAAAGTGTTTTGGCAAAGGCCTTGAATTTGAGCCGTGAAAAATGAGAAACGGTCAGTGTGTGCAACTTTGCACGTGTGTGTCTGGAAGCCGCTAGCAGCAGAGAGAAGATGAATACCTGATTGTCCCTCAGCTTCTTTCTCAAATTCCGACTCACTAGCCACTGCTGAGCATTACCTCAGCATGTGCTCGTGAAGAAAGCATGTCACATTTCCTACTAATGTACCACAAATGATGAAACATGGCTCTTGACAAGTGAATTAATAGACCAGGAAATTGGAGAACAAATAACTGTAATGTGAGAACGCAATAGTTGGTGCAGGTATTTTGTGCTCAAGTTTATGATGGGTTCCTTTGGGAAAACGGTGGTGCTGGGATTATATCACACCAGTGCCTTCAACCGCTTCGCCACACTACCCTACCTGACCTGGCAGCATAATAATGTGCACCTATAATACTGCTTCCAGGACAACACTGCTTTCTTGCCTATGACTCTCTTTGCCACTGTCCCATACAATGCTACTATCCACCTATGTCCGTATGTAACAGAATTGTTAGTTACTATTTCATCAAGCCTCCAAGGCCTGTGATTATAAGCGAGCCTACCTATGTCGTCTGAATATGCCAGGTTTAAAGTCCCACCCTCACCATCCTATGTTACTCTAAATAAACACAGGTTAGGTCACTGAAATCCTTGCTGCCCATGTTGCTGCATGCATATGCAGGTGCATATGCATGCAGTACATGTCGCATGCGATTGTCAAAGAGTCAATGCTTCCCGCTCCATGCAGGACGACCCCAAGTGGAGGTGAGATGTTCTGGCGGCTGATTGTGCGGGTGAGGGACGGAGAGGGGGCAGAGTTTGAGGAGGTGGACACCTCTTGTCGCAACTGCAGATTTGAGCAGAGGAATGGCTGGACTCCCTTCGTGGAGGCCCTCTCTCCTTACGCTGGGGAACCTTGTAAGAGAACCAGACTCTCAGGGCTGTTCTTGGTTGGGTATACAGACAGACAGACGGACAGAATGTACACTACCAATATTAGCTAGTGATTTCGTAATGTCTAGCAGATTAGAATTCATTGTCTGCCTGAATGGGTTAGTCATTCCAACCCTTAATATTCAGAGAGACAGATTGAATGGTGCCTATATAGCTAGTAATTTCTTTCCCCTTACCATGGTTACTGTAGTGTATATAACCAAAATGTCAGCAGATTAAAAATTATTCAGTCTGTCTGAGTATTATAAATGGTAGTGACTATGATGAGTTACAAACAGTACCAATAGTCACCATCCTTGGATATCTCTCTCTGTACAGCATCTCTTCTCACCATCTCTGGGAGGATATTCACAGTTGCATTTGACGATACACCAGAGGACCCTCCATTCGATGTCATCACCAGAGTGACCGTAGGAAACAGACTCTGCAACCATGTGGATGAGAATGGAGAACTGTGAGCTCACGCTGCACTAGTGTCTGTCCTTGTAACTCTGCCATTCTGCAGAACCTTTGTTCTATCTCTGCATGTTCTATCTTACCAAACTCCCTCTCTAGCTGAGCTCTAGCACTATTTTACCCAAACTAGAGAACTGTGAGCTATAACTAGTAGCTGCAATAGTGCTCTCTTTAAAATCTTTCTCTAACTAAACTGTCATAGTTTCAAGCTGTAGTGCTGCGTAGGTCACTCTTTGGCTGAGTGTAGTATATGGTAATAAATCTCCTTCTGTGTAGATATGGAGCTGAAATGACTGGCAATATCAGAGGAACTATTACCTGTCTCACCAACACAACCAACATCATTGGTAGGTTCTTGCCATGTGTCTGTTTACTCCCCTAACTCTCCTCCATGTTCACCTCTTTCTCTCAGACTCAATGAACGTCAGTTTAACACTGGATTACCGTGGAGGGTAAGTAACGTAACGTTTCTCACTGCTTAATTACCAGTAGCTGAATTGATTTAACTTTGACTCTGTCTCCTACAGTTCCTTTATTCGACTGAGTGAATACATCATAGGAATTGACAATAAGCTGAGACCTTATTCCTATCAGACCCATGCAGGTTTGTGGCACTACCAGCCTTGCACGTCCCTATACCTTCCACCTCTTTCTCGACTGTTCCCTTTTCCAAGACTGACTGATTCTCCCAAATCTGACAAATCTCCACATATACACTATGTATCTCTCCCTCTTCTCTTTATTATCTAGAGATACTGAATTTGGAGCCAGAGATGGGCAGTGTTGAGGGAGGAACCACCATCACAGTCTCTACCAGTATTGATCTCAGTGGCTACAGGCCAGAGGAGGTCCAGGTGTACGTGGGAGGTGAGACAAGGCTGGAGGGAGAGGGTCTTGAACTAGCAAGAAACAGTTTGACACATTAATGCACAGAGGCACTCATTAGAGAGTATGTGGCAGTATAAACTGTTACGAAAAATGTCACTGGACCCTATTGATTTAGCCCTTATCAACTAACAAATTCCAACACTTTGAAGCTCAGGTTTTACAGTGCAACAATTATGCATGACTCGATGTTATGAATTCTGCAAGGATGCAAGATCTCTTAAATGACTTTTCAACCTAGTTTTCGGGTCTCGAAGGAGCTTATTGAGGGTGTTACTGCTGTTTCTTCAGGTCAGGAGTGTGAGGATGTGTCTCTCACTGGAGGTGGCTCCATTCAGTGTACCACTCCCTCTCAGCCTCCAGCTCTACCCTCCTACCCAGGTTTGTTTGTACTCTCACTGTTAGCGTGTCATAGAAGCTGATATTGCAACAAAGATTTGCAACAGCATGCAATCTACTCTAACCTACCATAAAACAAACCCTAAAAATCCCCCAAAAAATGTTGTACTTCTTTGCATAGTAGAATTCAAATGTGGTAAGGTACCCCCTTTAAACCGTTTTAACCCAGCTAGCTTCCAGCTTCCAGTCATTGCATGAGCATAGATAGTGTCAACCAACCATATAGTCCACAGAACATCTGTAGTCCAGTAAAAAAAGTCAGTGTCTAATGATGGATTTTAGCAGTTATATCATACATGTAGCTTTACCACTGTCGCTCCTGTCAGGTGGACGAGGGCTGCTGAGGGAGGTGTGGCCTCTCACCTCCTGGGATCTAGACTATTACCTCGATCAGCCACTCTCTCTTCAGAACGCACCTCAGGAGAAGGCCTATAGAGACTTCCACGACCCTCGACAGTTTGGAGAGAGATTCAACTTTGCCCAGCGATACTCTGGATTTTTTGTTCCCCCTGTTACCTCTCTCTACACTTTTGCAATTGTCTCTGATGATTTGAGTCGGTTGTATGTTAGCCCGACAGCAAATGCCGATGACATGGAGCTGATTGCATACGCCGATCAACACACCTCTAGTCAGTGGAACAGGTTTGAATCTCAGACCAGTGAACCGATGATGCTGGAACAAGGAAAGTACTACTACATGGAGGCCTACTCTAACCAAGGACCAGGTGTGTGTTGCATTTCATGTATAATTATACCACAGAAACCAACAGCCTATAGCGGGCACCACACACCAAGAAGATTCATTAGTGTACTAGAACGAATGCAATGCATTTTTGGCGAGCAAACTGAGCAGAAGAGGCGCTAGTTAGGGTATGTGGAGTGTGGCCGTGCTATGTGGAGTGGAGTGGAGTGTGGTAGTGCGTGCAGCAGTAAAAATTCCACATTCAGATGGCTAGCCAATTATGTAAGAATGCTGTATATATTGTCTTTCCACAGGTTTCTGGAGCTTGGGTATCAGTGCTAAGATCCACTCTATCCCGTACACCTCCTACCCATACCTGGGAGACAGGGAGATACAGAGAATCATGACCACCTCAAACATCCTTCAAGAAACTCATGTACACACATGTTTGTGCTGCTTGTTCCTCAAACCTTTTGTGCTTCTCTATCGGCCCTTTTTGATACACAGTAGAATTAAACTTAAAATTCGGAGCCATCCATGACAGTTTCCTTTTGTTAGGCAGAGGACGGCGCGTCATGAAAATGACGATAATTTGTTAAGGAATTCTATTGTAGTTCTTCCCTGTAGTCTACGGTGGAATCTCTGAATAAGTGACACCTTGGGGACACTTATTTTTCAGAGTGCGATGTGTATTAATATGGGCAAATGTCCTTTATAGAGAGGTGTCTTCAGCCCTTTCAGAGGCTTAACATATGTATCCCCTCTTCCATTTGAATTATGATCAGTGATTGACGACGACTGTCTCTCTTATCTTTCACACAGGTCATGTATCTAACAGTGGATCCTGTAGTATATGATATCGACATTCTCTACACTAATGGAGAGGGAGTTGACTGCGAAGTCAGCATGACTGTCGGCGAAAGCTCGTTCCCACTATCCCCTGATACTATGACCTCTGACCTCCAAGAGATGCTCGAAGCTATACTTATATCAGAAGTGGGCGGAGTCAGAGTAGAGAAGGAGGTGGGGCTAACTGAAGACAACAATACCAGAGTGTCGCTGCGTCTGATCTTCCTGACCAATCAAATAGAATACCTACTGCCAATTGACGTCAGTAGCGATCCCAACAACTGCTCCAACACCGCAGTAGCGGTTACTCCACCAGATGCCACGCCCACCTTCCAACTGGGGTTCCCAGACTCCACCCGTCGAACAAACCCTCTTCCAGTTGCCGTGACGACTGCGGCAGAGCTACAGACTGAACTGGAGACACTGCTGTCTTATGAATGTACTCGGAATGCTCCGCCTAATGTCAGTTTATATATTATACCGTACCATAACACATACAAGGCTCTAGTGCAACCTTTTTGTTCTGTGAGTGTTATTATAGTCCATAAGGTTTTAGCGTAGTCCATGCATGTCCTTTCAAATCACCACACCTGATTTTATTAAGGAAATTATACCACGAGCAAACATATTTCAATGCTATCACACTGGATGAGTATCAATGCATTTCAATGACATATGGAACGGTTCAAGTGTCACCTAGTGTTGCCTTCGTAACAAATTGTTTTGCACGATACGACAATGTTTATCATCCATGTCAGCACTGCTTGGGTTGAACCACTTCCAGATTTACATTTGTGCCTTCTATCAAACACTGTTATACCATTGAGTCACTAGTACACTCCAACTGAAGACTGCTGTTGTGTCGTCCACAGGTACTGGTGACCATGGGGTACGAGGAGGAGAGTGAAGGGACAGGAGGTGTGGTCAGGAGCACCGCCTACTGTGGAAGACAATCTCTCCAGACTCCCTCCACCATCTGGGAAGGCACCCGCTACCAGACAAACGTCTACACTCATGTGAGCACATTACCAGTATGCCCCACACGTTAAAGATGTGAGCCCTGAACTATGTACTTTACCCACATGTTTGAGATGTGACCCTGAACTATGTACTTTACCCACACGTTTGAGATGTGAGCCCTGAACTATGTACTTTACCCACATGTTTGAGATGTGACCCTGAACTATGTACTTTACCCACATGTTTGAGATGTGAACCCTGAACTATGTACTTTACCCACATGTTTGAGATGTGATGACGCCATTATACCCTACACCCCTTTGTTAGTATTGCTCTTAGGAGCCTTTAGAGCCAGAATAGCTACAGATAGACGGACAGACAGACACACAAACCAAGTACTGACTGCAGTAACCCTCGTTTCACATGCCGGGTTCTTAGTGGAAAACGATTTCAGTTGATTACTACCCACTTGAAAGTTTTATCCACCATGTGCCATAGATTTCCCCCCCAAATTCATCCCTTCCCCAAACATCTAGGCATATTTTACGCCGGTGTTGCTACCTTGCAACTTCCAAATACGTACTTCTTCGATTCTCTGCGATATTCATGAATGAAAAGCCATCTAGTGATTAAATTCCAAGGTGTCACGTTACTGGTACACCCTCGGTGCAATATATCCAGTTTCATCACAATGTCCTACCACTGTCAACAGGTCTGTTTTGCCTACCTCGGCACCTTGCCAGCTCTCTGGGCCAGAGTCCACTACTATGCCGGGAACGAGAGGATCGGGACGGACATAACCTTTGACCTCCGTAGCTGCTCGGAGTGGCCGATGTCGTTCGATGGGGCGTGGCATCACCTCTGCATAAACCTCCAGTCGTGTCTCAGCGGGCAGTTTGAGGATGGCCAGATGTTCCAGGTGGACAAGATTTGGTTCAGCGGAGGAGGTTTCTGGATTGACGAGTTCACCATATCCTCTGGCGGAGTTGAAGGTTTGAGTATATAATCAGTAGAGCTTCATACTTAGTAGAGTTGCTGTCTCAGAGAGTATCAATTGACTCAATTGTGTTGGTGTCACCCACAATGGGGCCCTGTTATGAACCCAAAGGACCAACATAGAGTAGTTTCTTAGGATTTCAGAGTATTGGCGAGGTTCAACTGTATATACAATACAAGAGTAAATGTAAGCGCGTAAGCACTGGCACAGATAGCTTTCTTCACCAGGTTATTGGAATATCCGCGCATATCACTCCATTACAGCAATAATGCTGGTGCTGGACATTAGATCTGGTTTCTGCCAGATCCATTCTTGTGGTTTATGCATTTCTCCAGTGGGCCAGACAGCAGTCCCCATAACTCCTGGAGGAGTACAGATCTCTGCTCTGACTGTCACCGGAGGTGAAGCCACACCCACACTCCTGGAGGAGGAGCCTGGCGAGTCCGGTCCCATTCCCAGACTGGTTGTGTCCACATTCCAGATCGCTTACACGGTCGTAAACTGCGGCGCCGGGATGACACTGATCCAAGGCGACCAATCAGATTCGAAGAATGTGGTGACAGAACAATTACAGGCTGGAACTACGGGGATAACAGGGACCTTTGACCTTTCGTTCAACGGGCGGGAGATCAGCGGATTGCCGGCAGACATTCCAGCTGACAGACTAGACGAGCTATTGGAGATTAACTTCCCTGACGAAGGAGGTATGACTCCAATAGGGTAATATATACAAAGAGAAAAATGGGAGGGTCTAGTTCGTATCCCCAAAATTAAACTGTTTACTGTGCATACTGTAAGAATGGTCAAAAGGAAAATAAATTTGGATAAGAGTATGTTCAGTTACTACTTTTGTTGAATGCATAAAGAATCGCTTTCACATACTTGACGTTTTGGGCGATTTTTACTATAGCGTCTTGGATTTCGCTAGTCACCCATGGCCACTGGGCTACTACTATGAGAGAATTTTCAAAGGGAACACTACGTAACCCCTCCAATTAGATCTTTTTCCATTATCAGGGTTCAGTGTGGTGGCCGGAGGTGGGTGTGAGGGGAGATGGTGGGACGTTGCCTGGGATACGAGGGAGGCCGACATCCCCTCCATGACGACCGATGGAACCAACCTTGTCGGCAGCGACCCCATGGTCTCCGTGGTGACAATAGTCGATGGAGGAATGTGGCTCCGCCCACTGAGAGGTGACATGCTGCGGCTACTAGAAGTAGATCCACAGGTTTGTTTGAACATGGGAGTGGAAAGTGGGTGTGGTTCATTTTTTCCAACATGGAGTGGAGAGTAGGTCTTTTATAGCCCGCAAGCCTGAGAGTCAAAATGCTTCAGAGCCTTTTTATTCAGACCTCTCAGTTCCGATTCAATCGCTCCATTGTTTGAGCAAGAGCCCACAAGCTATAACCTAAGCTAGCTAGCTAGCGTACTCTCGAGCAGACCTTTGTATGATGTTATAAATGCTTGTGAAATTTGAACTTTTTTTGGACCCAAGTTTAGAAGCCTGCCTATCATGATAGTTTAGACCTTCGGTGAGTGTTGTTTCCACCATGTGCACATTCAGTCATTCATCTGTGCCAATCCTACCTAAGGATGTGGCCTTCGTATAAGGGTCATCCCGTAGGCAGAGAATCAGCCATGCTGGCTGGGTGCCCCATGCTCCACCCATCCGTTAGGGGGTGCGTGCAAGGATAGATGTGCATGCATCACATGGTCTATTGTTACATGTAAGAGAAATAAGTACGGGGGCCAGCGTAAAACCCAAGAGGGGTTAAGTAGCTACTCCTTCCCTATCCCACAGGTTGAGGTGATTATCAACAGCATCCCATCTTCCTGCCGTAGTAAAAACTGCTCCTTCAATTACACCACCGAAGCCACACCTTTTGTTGAGTCCCTAGCTCCATTGTCAGGACAACAAGGAACAAGCGTCACCATATACGGCTCTGGTTTCCAAGGCGATGAGGAGGATGTGAGGGTGTGGTTGGGGGAGGCGGAGTGTGATGTGACCTCGGTCAGTGAGAGTAACATCACCTGCACCGCCCAGGCCAACTCTGCTGGGCAGGTCACGGTCACCGTCCATATACCAGGCAAAGGATACGCAGCTGTGAATGAGTCCGCGTGCTTCACCTACAGCCTCTCACTCAGCGGTATTCAGCCCAGCAGCGGGGGCACAGAAGGAGGGACCCGGGTCACCATTTCTGGCTACGGGTTCCTTTCTGTCACTCCAGTTGATGCTTCTTTCATTGGGTCCCCACTAGATAGCACACCCTGGCTGGCTGCCGGGTTTGGCTGGCCTCAGCTCCCTCCTCTCCCAGCCCTCTGTCCCACTATAACCCACCAGATACCAAATGTACAGCCCTCCCAATACCTACCTCTTCAGAGGATTCTTCTGGAAAACCACGCCCCCGACGGTGAAGCTGATGTCAGCAAACGTGCGGAGTTACAATCAATGATATCTTCTCTCTATCTGGACCTACCTATCAGTGTGTTCATTGGTTCTGCCCCCTGCGTGATATCATCAGCCTCAATCGACCAACTCATCTGTACCACCACCAGTCATTATGACGGTACAGTCAACATCACAGTCAATGTACTTGGAGAGGTGGCAGTTCTGGAGTATGCTTATAACTATGATGAAAACCTCACGCCAACCATCACCTCAATCAGCCCTGTCTCGGGGCCGGTGTATGGGGATACTCCTCTAATTATCACCGGAGTAGCTCTGGCTGACACAACATCAGTTATGATCGGGGGTGCTCCCTGTGAAATTAGATCTCGCAATGCAACTACAGTGGAGTGTACAACAACCCGTCATCCTCCTTCATCTCTGCCTGTCTTAGTCACCACTGACCAGGGAGTGGCTAGGGTGGCCATGGAGGGGAGTGGGGAGGATCTGGTGCCTCGTGAGAACCCCTTCTTCTTTACCTACGAACTCGAGGTGAACTCTGTGGAACCCCTGACGGGGTCGCTCAATGGAGGACAGCAGCTCACTATCAATGGACAGGGCTTCAGCCCCTCACGTGCACTTACTTCAGTTCTGATCGGTGGTCGCCATGCGTACATAGTCTCCGCTACTGAAACGGAGGTGACATTTCTCGCTCCTCCGCCCTTCACTACTCACACTGTCACCTTCATCAATGGAGGATTCACCATCGGTGAGTGAGAAAGTAATACCCTTAGCTAATCCTCACGATTAATTTCTCTCTCTTTGTTTCACAGATGGACACCAGTTTGCCTGGTCTACATTAAATACCGTGGTACAGCGTGGGGACACTGTAACCTGGGAATGGGACATTGACTTCCAGGGAATCCAGGCCAACGTGTTCCAAACCCCAGAGGCTGATTCCAGCATGCGCCTGGAGGGAGGGTTTGCAAGTGACACCTCAACTTCAGGTTCCTTCTCGCGTACACCTTCAGGGAGCTGGGAGTGTTTTACTATGCGAGTGAGCTGACCCAACAGATAGTGGTGTATGGTCAGGTCACGGTGGAGGAGGCTGAGTCACAGGGAGCAGGACATTGCGGTGCTTGTTGATGGCTACGAGGCTCCATACGTTCCACTGGATGATGGCAGTGGAGACAGTGGGAGTGGGGATGATGGTATGGTCATGTCTGACAGTGGAGAGGACAGACTACAGCGTAGGGTGGCAATAGGATGCGAAGATGAACCGCTGAGTGAGGATAGTGGCCTTTTCTACACTTACACACCCTGCTCTACACCAACCGTGACCGCTGTTACCCCATTATCGGGAAACACACTCACTACCTTCACTCTCGTGGGCAGCTTGCTTCTCCCATCCGATCCATCAGACACTGTGACTGTCACATTCGGTTCATATGACTGCATCGTAATGTCCACCACTAATTCTTCGATAGAGTGTCAACTGGATCTAATGCAAATGCCGCCATCTTTCTCCTCCCTCCCGCTATATCTTAACGTCCCAGGGCTGGGTGTTGCCACCACAGACATACCTCAGACAACTATCAATCTCTCTCCACTTATCACCTCTCTTTCTCCGGCCAACAGTTCCACAGAGGGAGGTTCACATCTCTTTATCTCTGGTCACGGTTTCCCTAGTGAGGAGCTCACTGTGACTGCGGGTGGTCAGACTTGTAGTATAGTGGAACAGAGCTATTCTGTTGTCCAGTGTGTAATGCCTGGCAGTTCTCCTGGTTCTTTTCAAGTAGAAATGTCCCTTTCAACTGCTACCGAAAGTCCATTTGAATGTGTTGCAGAGAACAATTGTATGGTGGCGTATTCCCTAGACCACACCCCCAGGGTGGAGACTGCCACACCCACAAACCTTGTTGGCCCCGGTGACATCACACTAGAGATTGGCGGAACTCTATTCTCAGAAGTTGCTCAGGACAACTCAGTGCTAGTCGGAGAGCAGCCGTGCTCTGTAACTTCAGCAAACTTCTCCCTCATCCAGTGCACCATACCTGCCTTACCTTCTGGCAACTACGCCCTCTCTCTTACTGTCTGCCCATCATCCCCACATATCAACTCCTACTGCCCTGGAAGTGCCATCATTATGGCCAGTACTCTCACCAGCCCAGCCGAAATCACAGATGTGACTCCAATACAAGGAAGTGTGGCTGGCGGAACAACACTCACTATCTCAGGACTAGGATTCTCTACTGATTCTTCTGGTGTGTCTGTTAGCATTGGGGGACAAGTATGCACTGTGACTTCATCCAGCTACAACGAGATAATGTGCACTACTTCTGCAAACACTGCCGGTACCTATGATGTAATGGTGACATCACATGGAAATGAATACCCAGTGACTCGGAACTACACATACTCCATGGAGATGACTCCCATGGTGATGTCAATCGACCCAACAAACGGCCAACACGGAACAATGGTGAATATAACAGGGGCCAACCTTGGAGGGTCTACATCAGTTGACATTGGAGGAAGTCAGTGTACAGTGGACAACGAGGAGAGCACTGACACTACCATCATGTGCATGCTGGGGCTGAACCTTGCAGGAGAACACAACATCAACGTCAACGTGGATGGAGTGGGGATGGCAATGGTCGCGGAAGACGTCACATTCAACTACGATCTCGTCCTCACGACTTTTTCCCCGACGTCCGGCAGCCTGGCAGGGATGAGTTCGATCGTGGTGGGAGGGATGGGGTTCAACCCCACGGACGTCTCTGCCACTGTATGCGGTGAGGAGTGCTCTCTGTCCACCTCTCCCGGGAGTCTTAGTGCCTTTGAATGTGTCCTGCCACCAATGACCTCATCTGTAGACGGTACGGTTGACTGCCCCGTGATGGTACAGAGCCTGGGTATAATGGCTATGTTCAACGATACGTACACGTACGAAGAGGACCTCACCCCGAGAGTAGATAGCATCAATCGTACCCGCGGAGGATCCCAGGGAGGCTCCCGAATACTTATCGAGGGGCAAGGGTTCGATGGGGGCGACGTCTCTGTCACAATAGCAGATGTGGAATGTGATGTTATCTCGTCCACTGCGACAGAGATCGTTTGTGACACCGGGGCCAGTGGGAGGACCGTACGAGCAGAGGTCATGGTGTTTGTCACCGGGAAAGGCTTTGCGCAGTCTGAAAACATTTCTTTCTGGTACGTGGACTTGTGGAGCTCGAGTTTCACGTGGGGGGGCCAGGACCTTCCACGGGAGGGGGATTTTGTGGTGGTCCCCAGGGGACAGACTTTGGTCCTGGACACTGTGACTCCCGTCCTCAGCTACCTCCTCTTGCAAGGCGGGGAACTGGTTTTTGACGAAGAGGCTGTTGACAATCAGGTGGGACTGCACACCCATGGCATGCTCATTACCAGCGGAGGCAAACTGGAGGTTGGAACTGAAGACAAACCATTTGAGGCTAGAACTGAAATTGTTCTCTATGGAGATGTGTTGTCAACGGAGATTCCGGTGTACGGAGCAAAGACCTTGGCCCTGCGTCAGGGATCAATCGATATCCACGGAAAACCATTGACTAAGACCTGGACAAGACTCTCAGAGACTGCAATGGCAGGGACCTCAATTCTCCGGTTGCAAGAAGCAGTTGACTGGGCACCAGGTGGAAAGATTGTGATTGCCTCGACTTCCTTCAGCCAGAGAGAGAATGAAGAGCACACAATTGTTGAGGTTAGTAATGGAGGGTTAACTCTGGAGTTGGAGTCTCCACTAGAGTATGAACACATCTCGGTGAGACAGACCATTGCAGGGAGGGAAATTGACACGAGTGCAGAGGTTGGTTACCTCACAAGGAATATAGTGGTTAGAGGCAGTGTCAATGAGGAGTTTGTGTCAGAGGTCTCTGCGTGTCCAGAGGAATTCAGAACTGGACAGTTCCAGTTACAGACCTGCTTCCTCGGTCGTTTCGGTCCCGAGACCATCAGTGACCAGTTTGGTTCCCAGATCATGATCCACGCACCGGAACAGAACAAGGGAGACGTTTTTGGTCGGTTCTCGTACATCGAGGTCACTCACGCCGGCCAGGCCTTCCGGCTGGGCCGGTACCCAATCCACTTCCACCTGAACGGGGATGTGACCGGATCTTATGTAAGAGGCTGCAGTATTCACCACACTTTCAACAGGGCAGTCACAATCCATGCAGTAGACAACCTCCTGGTAGAGAACAACGTGGCCTACAACATCCTCGGTCATGCCTACTTCTTAGAGGATGGTATAGAAGAGAACAACATCATTCAGGACAACCTTGGAATCTTTGTCAGAGCGGCCAGCTCACTGCTAAACGTTGACATCACCCCAGCCGTCTACTGGATCGTGAACCCCAACAACATTGTGAGGAGGAACGCAGCTGCCGGAGGGACCCACTTTGGTTTCTGGTACCGCCTCCCTGTGAATCCAACTGGACCATCCTTCACCAGTGCTGTGCGACCGCGAGAAATAGCACTCGGAGAATTCACCGACAACTCTGCCCACTCGTTTGGTTGGTATGGCCTGTGGGTGTTCCCAGCATACAACCCGCCAGTTCCGGCTATGTTTCAGAACTTCTTATCCTGGAGGAACGAGCGAGGGATAGAATTCAGCATAGACTCTCGTAGCATGGGTCCCTTACAAGTCCTCAACAGTACCCTGCTTGACAACGAACTGGCAGGGTTCGAAACAACACAAATCGAATCTGAATGGGGTGATAGTCTTGTGAAAGACACAGTGATCGCTGGTCATAGCAATATATCTGATGCCGATGAATCATTCTGCACAGTTGCAGGGATTAAGACTCCTCGCTCCCCCTACTTGATTGTAGAGTCTGTAACCTTTGTCAACTTTGACCGGGAGGGCTGCACGGCCATTGCAGCTTGCTCCCACTGCAAGAACCTCCAGGGAGGGTTCGAGACGAGGTACAAGGACATCAGGTTTGTGAATAGTCCACGGGTGACCACTTGGCAGTGGATGCATGAGCACTACCACAGGGACCTGGACGGAACCCTCACAGGAACAGACGTACACAGCATCCTTGTCCCCACCTCTGAAATTCTCCCCCCAGTCTGCGTGGCTCATGAATCATCCAGTTTTGGTGCACCTGGCAGCATTTGCCCAGGGTCTCTAGATTTCACACGATTTGCTCTATACAACCCAACGCCCAGTAATTCCTTAAAGTTTAACACACTGGATCTCACAAACACCTACGGAACAACGACTGTAGAGTATGAAGACAAGCGACTATTAGTCAAAGATGGCCACATGGCCTTGCTGCCTGTAAATCAGAGCTATGCACTTGACTGGAACGTGGGACCAATCTTTACAAACACCAGCTACCAACTCCTGGTGACCCAACTCGACGAAGAAGACTACATCTTTCTCCAGCAGGAATACCCAGAGCCTCTTGACTTTATCACAATCAACAACAAGATCGAAAATGTCAGCGAGTCTTTCCTGAACAACCCCTCGCAGGCCGAGACTGGTGACTGGTTCAGCGACGATAACAACACCATTAATTTCATCATCACTGGAGACCAGGATGGAAGGACGGATTTCAATTTCCAGACATACACGTGTTTCTACGAGGACTGCATCCCACCCCCACCACCTACCCTCCCTCCTCCTATTCCACCAGGTCGACCGGAAATGACGCAGTCCTGGTCAGACCCAACCATCTGGCCCGAAGGTCAGTTACCTCAAGAGATGCAGGACGTTTTCATCAACTGCAGCTGGTATGTCCTGCTGGACGTGGAAATCCCCCGACTGGGCACACTCACAGTCTGCGGAGCCCTGGAGATTCTTGATGGAATGGACCACACAATTGCGGCCGACATCATCCTCATAACAGGAGGCCGTTTGGTTGCCGGGTATCCCGACACACCGTTCACCAGCAAAGTCACCTTCCTTCTCCATGGCGACAGGTCCTCCCCGGAAGTTTCTTTTGACATTGGTCCCATTGTGGGGTCAAAGGCCATAGGGGCGTTTGGGGAGTTGATTTTGACAAGTCGACCGCGGCTCCCCACATGGACCACATTAGCCGCGACGGTGGAGGCTAGAGGGATGCAGATTGTGCTGAGTGAGCCTGTGGAATGGGAGGAGGGAGATGAGATTGTAATTACGTCAACTTCATTTGAAGGGGCTGAGAGTGAGACAGCTGTCATATCTGACGTGTCCAATTCCAGAACCACATTGATGCTCAGTTCCCCACTTGAATTCCAGCACGTGCATGTGACCGAGACTGTTGGGTCTCATACCTATACCCTCGCTGCCGAAGTCGGTCTACTGACGAGAGATATTGTCATCACCAATGGTGACAAAGACGTATCGGATGAAGAGACGTTTGGTTGCCGAGTTCTCGCAGGGACCATTCAGATAGATGGGCAGATAATCTCAGGGTCGGTCCAAATGGAAGGCGTGGAGCTGAGGCGCTGTGGCCAGCTAGGCTACACAGAGGAATATGACCCCAGGTTTTCCCTAGCAGTTCTGAACATCCAGGGTCGGGGATCTTACGCCCGGGGCTGCAGCATAAACGATGGGTACAATACTGGGATTGGAGTGTTTGGTTCTGATGGATTCCAGCTCACTCACAACGTAATCCACGACACAGTTGGGAGTTCGGTGCGGGCCGATGGCTCTCACTTGGTCATCACAGACAACCTTGCCTCCTTGAGCCACTTCCTCGCAACGTACAGAGATGACCCCATGGCCCAGCCTGCCAACACCCTGTGGACTGCCAATTTCGACCTTGCGTCGACGCGCACCAACCTCACTCTCCGTCGCAATGTGGCTGCCGGGGGCAACAAGGCTGGTTTCCATGTCAACGGAGATGACTGTACTGCCGAGGGAGATGAACTCCAGGTAGCTGACAACATAGCTCACTCTACTCTCCACGGAATCCATCTTGGCTACTCTGATGGACACCCATCTGGATGCACCCACATAGCGAGGTTCACTGCTCACAGCTGCCATCACTACGGCATATACAGCTTCAGCCCTGCTGAGCTCCGAGTCAGCGAAGCCAGACTGATCAACAACAATGCCGGCATCTTTGCTGCAGTGATTGGGCCCCCTTCACTCAGCCACCAGCTGGGGAACAAAGAGGTTGTCATCGAGGACTCCTTGCTGGTGTCTGCCACACCCGACTTGGACTGCATAAGAGATTCTGTGGATCCTAAGACTTCTCTTCACCCTCAGGCCTTCACCGGTCTGCGACTGAGATCCCCCTCAAATGGTCACGTGGGAATCATCATCCCTGTTTTCACCTCCGGCCCGGGCCACAGGACCTTGTCTGGATGGAGCAGCATCTCTGCCTACCCTGCCATCAGTGGCAAAACCACCATCCGCAGAATCACCTTTGCCAACTTTGGTTCTCGCTGTCCGGAAGAGACAGACACGTTACTGATGACCCACCCACGGTCGGAGGACTGCAACCACCCCACACATCTCCAGGACATATCCCACCACATGAATGGCGAGGCCTTGAAATACTTCAACCATCAACCAATTCTGAACAGTATCAACCCTTCGGACTGTGTTGATCTTGACTGCGATGGTCTCAAACACGTTCTGGTACGGGACGAGGACGGAACCTTCCTAGAAGCAGGAGGACCGAGATCTCTAATCTCCATGGCCGAGCTCAGTTGGGGCGATAACGGGCCACGTGGCCTCGGAAACTTCCGGATCCCGACGGTCATGCTGGCAACACCGGGAGGAGGGATGGAGGATGCCAATGCACTCTTCCCTGAACAGGGGATAGCGAGGGGTACAGCAGCCCCTGGAAATGAGTCTCAGTGCTTCTGGGACCCCAACTGGAACAGCTACGTCTGTGAGAACATTGAACATCTCATGATTGTCATAGAGAGCCTTGACGATGACACAGAGGTGAGGCCACATGTCTATCATCCACACCAAACATACATATAATAATTATAGTGATTCATATTTCCACCTGTGTACCTCTTTGGTATATACTTGGAATCCAACTTCAAGATCTATAGATTACAGCCTTAGGTAGATTTAAAGTGGTATAAATTTAGCAACTGAAAACGGAAACCTACAGTAAATTTAGCCCTTGTGTACTGCAACATTGGTAATACCTTAGGCTCCAGTTCTTTTAAACAACCTTTTCCAAAAGGGTGTAGTACATGGAAAATGCATCAACATTCTCAACATTATTTCCCCAATACACTAGTAATTAGTACACTGACTCTATGGGGAATTGAACATAGTATTTAAAGGGAGCTGTTCAATCTGTCCCTTTCTACCATCAGGTCAGGAGACTCTCACCTGTTGGTCTGGCAGCCAATGGTTTCATTGACATTCTCAACGGACCAATGGACAACGGATGGTGCGGTGGATACACCTGTCAGGAGAGAATATCAACATTCTTTGGGATCGTGGCCTCAGGCCTCTCCTACACCATGGCGCTCACCAGCACAAATCCACAGAGAATGGCTCTCCACCTGCTAAATGCCGAGGAAGATCAATCCATTTTGATAGCCATCTTCTACACCAACCCCCAGAGATTAGACGTATACAGTGACGGGCAGTATGTGGTACCAAACAACGCTATGATGCTGGAGAATGGAAACCTGGAGTATCAGACTGGGACCGTGGAGGATTTCGTGCCCACCTTGGACCAGCCTCATGGAGCTAACTATTACGACAGAGACAGAAAGCAGCTGCATATTCTCTTGAGAGGAGACAGACCTTATGAGATTCGCACAACACCTGTCATCCAGGTACGTAGAGATAAACACACTGCCACCTGACTCCTTGTTTTTATGTAACTCTACACACACATAAAAGCACTGAATTTTCCCACTGGCACTGCATTTGCTCAAGTAATTAGAAGCTTTTAGGGGAGAAACGATTTTACAGATTTGAGAGCCAGGGCAAAACAATTGCAAGTTGATAATCATATGATTATTATGCTACACCATGGTACATGAGTGAATGAGCTCAAAGCATAATAATGGAGGTAGCCCCGCTCTATATGTTAGACACTGAAACCTGACCATTTGTTCTCCCTTGCAGGTTGGACTGAGTCTGGAAGTATCGGTTGACGACTTCTTCAATGAAGACCGACTTGTTCAGAACCTTGCCTTCCTTCTCGGCATTGACTCCTCCCAAATCAGGGTGGTGAGTGTTGTCAGGGAAACCATCAGCAAGAGAAGACGACGACAGGACAATGGGGCAGGCCAAATGGACCGTGTTGACGTCGAATTTGAGATTGGTAATCCGCCTGCTACATCCACTACCATGGAGACCACAAACACGACGTCACCAGATAACGAGACCATGTCCACTAACGAGACGTCCACTGAGGCCCCACCCATGGACTCCACCCTCTCGTTTGAACAGCTGGAGGACCTCACAGAGACCGTGGTCGATGTGATCCAAACTGGCCAGTTGACCTCTGACCTCAACGCCACAGTGGTAAATGCAGTTGTCATGGAGCCGGAACCAGAGATGATGGATCCGACCAATGGGATGAGAGCCACACCCTCAACGGGTGGACCCCAGCCTGGAGAGAACGGCACGGAGCTCCTGGAGACGTTCTCCAACATGCAGTTTAGGATGGAATTGGAGGAACAAAACCAAACACAGCCAGTGGTCTTCACCATCCCAACACAGCTGGTTATTGAGAGGAGCTTCCGTGCCACGGCAACAGAGGGGTTACCCCTGACCCAACCACCAATCATTGTCATGTTTGACAATTTGGACAATATCATCGAAAACCTTGGCTTGGAAGAGGCGTGGAGAGTTAGAGCCAATGTCGATAGTGGACCCCCAAGAGCTTTCCTGGCAAATGACACAGCAGAGTTGATCAGTGGTCGTGCAGAGTTCTCAGACCTTGCCTTCAGCTACCCTGGAACCTACCAGGTCTCCTTCGAGGTGGTTTTCCCTGAATCGGCCGAGTTCAGTGTGGTGGTCGAGGAGGAGATCACGGTGCTGCCCCGAGACCTGGAACTGGTGGTTGTCTCGCAGCCAGGCCCAGGAAACACTTCGCACACACTCTACCCAAGTCCTGCAGTAGAGCTGTGGGAGGGCGGGGCTGTGCTCAGCGAGCACGACTGGAGGAACAGTACCTGGCTGGTGAGAGCCACTCTCAGGCAAGGCGGGCGCTCCCTACAGAGCTGGGAGGAAGAACTCAGCTCAGGATATGCCAAGTTTACTGAGGTTGCTTCCAGTAATCCCGGGGAGTTCACTCTTGTCTTTGAAGTTTTCACAGACCCACTTTCCTCACACGTCCCAGTCACTGCAACCAGCCAGTCATTCTACATCACCCGCCATCCTCTCACTCGACTGATGATTACCTATGACGATCAAGACTATGACACAGTCATTGGCGAAAACAACCAGTTCTTGGACGACTTCATCACCACATTCAGCTACAACTTTCGCAAGGCATTCCCTTCTGATACAGTTGAGATATACAACATAACCGTGACCCGAGGGAGCATTCTAGTGTCTGTGTTTCTCACCAGCCGAAGCGCCAGCAACCTGCTCAACTATGTAGGGACCGTGACCTCATCCAACGATACATTCACTTTCATGTTCCGAGGTGCCGACTTGGTCCCAACAGATATCGTACGAGACCCCGCCTACCCCTGTTACTCTCCCCGAGGAAGAGGAAGACGAACTGACGCTAATTCTAGTGACCGTCATTCCCAGTGGTACTGTCCTCCTTACCACCCTTCTCATCATCCTGTTTGTGACCCTCTGCTACAGACACAGGAAGAACACCCAGAGCTTCAAGGTGAGAGAGTGAATCATATATAGCTCAAATTCCACACTTCTTTTCAGAGTAATAATAAAAATACTCAGGTGGCTACCATAGCACTAGGGCCATAGACCACACACCCAGAGCATTAGCATTTATATAGATGCACTACCAGCCGAGATCATTGGGGGTATGTTTACAGACAGGAGGTCCGTAGAATGGAAGATGTGGTTATAAATCCTCCATTCTGAGTCCCCAATATGAGAGTACTAGCCGTTGTGGAAAACCTGTACATTTCAATACTGCGCTGCCATATCACCCTGTTATGAAATGAGATACCGAAAATCGCGGTATTGGGAGGCTTTGGCTCGCACAAGAAACCTGGTCATTCACATTGAGTTCTGGGTGGTTCGACGGTACAGAACCTTCTCTATGAACATATTCGCAAGGGGAACGAGGTGTTAAACATGTTGGTACCAGAATGTGACCAAGTATGATTCTTCTGGACTATGATCTACAATATATATGTTGCTATTCTGCACCATGCTGCAATTACCCAGATGGTGTTGTGTCAATATTTTGAAACTGCCTTTCAATATACAAGGGATTTTGAAACTGCCTTTCAATATACAAGGGATTTAGAAACTGCCTTTCAATATACAAGGGATTTAGAAACTGCCTTTCAATATACAAGGGATGTTGAAACTGCCTTTCAATATACAAGGGATTTTGAAACTGTTACTGAAAATGGATACATACTTATGCCATTCTTGCACTAGGTCGTATCGTTTAGCCCTAATATATTCCCTTTCTTGAACATTGTGTGTCTGCTGCAGCCTCGAACTCTTCGGGAAGTGACAAACACAGCGTCAATGGAGAAGTACGTCCAGCACAACATGGGGGCTGCTGGGTTCGACGGGTCAGAGGAAGAGCGCTACCTCACCTTCGAGACAGAGAAAAGACTGGAGGCCACCACCTCCACCATCTCCTTCCAGTCCTTTGAGATGAAGGAGAAAGAGAAGAACGGCACTACAATCAGCAAGGTAAGAATAATTATGGAGTATCAAGAGAACTGAGCTTCAGCATTCAGCATTCACTGAATTCTTTCCTACTGCTTTTCTTTTGCTTATACTAACCAAAAATTGAAGCCAATATGCACAAATACGAAACTGCTCTCTGCAATCTTCTTCCATAAGCCAAACGACTATAGAGTATTTCGTTAATAGCAGTCGAAGAAGAATTTTCCGTGTCTACCATTTCTTGTTGCTTTTCTACTTTCCTACTTCCTATTCTTCCCCCTCTCCTCTCCTCTCCCGTCCCACAGCACGAGCCAGTGGTGACCAGTAAGATTATCTCTGTCCCTGGAGGCTCCGTATTTGTCAACCCCACCACCACTGACAAAGACAACGAGGAGGTCGAGAGGTACGTCACCGTGGCGACAAATGGAAAGCCGCCAGCGACGGGGTCCATGGAGGGAGGGATCGGGGGACTGGAGAAGGAGGTGGAGGCGATTCTCACCAAGAGCGGGTCTCTGGTGGAGGCGGAGTCTCACATCCAATGACCACACCCACCACACCCACCACACCAATCACACACTCTTTAGCAAGACTGATATTGCATCATGTAGTCAGAACCAATCATCTTTGTTTGCATGAGCTAATCACTACCACTTTTTACTGCATTCGTGTATAGATGTGATGTGTGCCGTAGCAATACAAAACGACTTTGAAGTCTTAAGATGTCAATGGAAAACTACGAGCACAGCTCGTGAGGGAGCTAACTCTTTTCACGTGTTTTGCAAATGCAAAGTCAAAATGTACATACACGTTTTAATCTACCTGCATTTACCAGTATTGACAATCTAGCCTGATAACGACTGCGCAGGTAAAAATTAAGTGCAAGAAGTAATTGTGGTACATAATGAGATTCACGAGAGAGAATCAAACGGGAATGAGACAGAGTGAGGAGTTGCAGGACGGTGGAAATGGAGTCACTCAACCTTACGTCTCTTCAGCGAAGGTTTCTCAAAGATCTGCTTGGTACCACCTCTCTTGTCCAGAAACTTGAGAGCAATGGGTGTGGCCTGCGACCAGGCACTGTCAAACTGAGGTACATAGGAGAAGGGGGTCAAGATAGACAATGTTGCACAGTTCCCCTCGATTTGAGTGGCAGTTTGTTTACAGGTTGGATATCATCCCATAACGACGTGGCTTTTGTATTACGTCGATCACAGTGCTTAAAACTGCAGGGTGTCACTGGTGGAAGGGGCGGGTTAGTTATTAATGCATGCCATGTAATGCTGGCTCCACTCATGGGTGTGAGGTCTATAGCCAGGCCAGCTAGTGCTACAACTGCCACACAAGCATTACTATACGTAACTGGCGAGCAATCGCAATAATGAAATTTCGTCTGTTTATGAATTTAAAGTATTTCAGTACTGTAGTGGTAGTGTCTGATACAAATAGAAAAACTTCACTATTTCACTAGGTAGGCTTGCCTCGCTCGCCAAAAACGTGCTAGAGAAACAGCAAAGTCCAAGGGGACTCCATACACCACGAGACTATACATAAGTAGTATGTAGTATGTATATACCTGAGTGGTGTCCTGGTCAACGAGGTGAGTATACTTGGTCCTTCCTGCACGACCAAAGTCTTTCACTTGCATCACCTTCGGTAGCACCGTCTTGTCGAAATGGTCCTCAAGAGTGGCTTGAGCAAAGTCTCGTTTCAGTACAACATCCTCCTCATCCTATACATAGTAGAGGAAACAGTACAGCACCCTATATATCTATACCAACACCTTTCTCCACTTCACATTATGCCGAAGTCAGTAAGAGAAAAAAATTGGTATGCCAAGAATATTTTGCTAATGAGGTTCATTTTGGGGTAAGACACCCACACACAGGTCTCTTAGTGATAAGATACCTGTGGTCTGGTGGCTTACTTATAACTTAGATCCTTCCGTTTACAGTACGCGCACCCCAGGGCGTCCAGAAGCGACGGTCACGAGCTAAGACTGCTCAGACCTCGCCTTGACTCGAACAGTTACGACGCTCCTAATAGCAATGATTCTGTGTCATCATCGACGAAGTCATCGACAGTGCCCAGTGTGGAATCGGGAGGCCTCTCCCCTGCCGGGCTACCGTCGAAAAGTTGAGACGCCGCTGCCAATAGTCAGTGTCAGCATCAACGCAATCGTGGATTGTGCCTGGTATCGGCTTGGGAGAACTCTCCTCCGCGGTGCTTTCCTCAAAGAGCTGCTACCAACCAAGGTTGAACGCGGACGAGCTACAGCCAACTGTACAGCTATCCATTTTCTTAACAACTAAGACAAATTCGAGTGCCTTCGTGGCTCTAAAGCCCACATGGGAGGCTGGAATTACGCAATAGTAACGGAGGCGGACTATACATAGAAGCCCAATACTATGATGAACAAAGAATAATAACCTACATTCACATGCAGTCAATGACAGTAGATAGCAATGAAGGCCAGGCAGTGGCAGGGAAAAGTAAGGTAATCGCAGGAAAACATGCAAGTAACTTGTTGAAAAGCTACATATAGACACATATGTAAGCACGACTGTATAGAAAAGCTCAGGGAAAGCACACTGTTTTATATATAGGAGAGCTGGGATAACAAGAGAAGACACTCAATTCGTATAATGTAGAGAGGAAGCAAGCAATACTGTTGGAATTGGATTATATTTAAAACACAATTGGATTACCAACATCTATATTTAAAACACCACATTTCTAACGGGACTACAATGTGGGCTACAGCAGCAAACTCTGTCCACATGGGCAGAGTTTTCATCCTCCCTTATTTTCTCCCATCCCTAAGATACTATCTTGAAGCGTCATTGGTTATGGAATATATTATTTAAAGTGGAATGGCATGGTACCCAGCCCTATAGAGAATCTCTAGCTAAGACACTGGGTGGCTAACCAGATAGAAGGCTCCTCTGGTACCCAGCCCTATAGAGAATCTCTAGCTAAGACACTGGGTGGCTCACCAGATAGAAGGCTCCTCTGGTACCCAGCCCTATAGAGAATCTCTAGCTAAGACACTGGGTGACTCACCAGATAGAAGGCTCCTCTGGTACCCAGCCCTATAGAGAATCTCTAGCTAAGACACTGGGTGGCTCACCAGATAGAATGCTCCTCTGTGGAAATACTTCTGGAGGAACTTGTACTTCCCTTTCTCAGCCTTGTTGGTGACGACGCGAGGGTTGAGTCTCAGGTGCTCTCTCCTCTCCTCCTCCGTCATGTTTCTCATCCTCTCCACATCCTCTCTCTCTCGCTCTATCCTGTGTGTGGGATTATGCAGCTACGTTTTAGCTACTCGTGGTCGCCATCTAAGCTCACGGAGAGTCTGACACGGGCTAGCTACAGTAGTAGATAGTATGCGGGAGTCGATACACGCCATACGTTGTGACTTCTTGTGCCTTCAAGATACACAGAGCAAGCAGACCTGATCGAGGTAAGCCTGTGCTATTTTGCATAGTGGCTTGTTCACTTGCTTTTCACGCCATCACTTTTGAATGAAGTATTTCTATGAAAATTGCCTTTTTTAAAATCAAGCCAGTGTAGCACTGAACCCGTTACTGTCGCTGTTTCACTGATTTCTTGCGCGTGGTGGCAGAAAACATGGTAACAGACAGACAGACAGACAGACACACTTACGAACCAAGTACTGTAACCCTCGCTGCGCATGCGCGCCGAAGGTTAACAAGCCAACATGCAAATTAGCACCTGTTACCTCGTCAACATCTCCTTGCTTGGTGTACCTTGGAGGCACAAGAAGTCAACAACGAATGGGCATGTATCGATTCTCGCATGCTATCTACAACTGTAGCTAGCCTGTGTCAGACTCTCCGCGAGCTACTCTAGCGGGAGACCACGAGTAAACGTATACTAATAGCCCAACCCATCAATTAGCGGTACACGCATGCGCAGTTCGGCGAGGGTTTGCACTTCAGTGCTTTTCATTCGAAGCTGCAATGTCTCAAGACTTCCCAGTTTGAGGGTGTCTGAGGACCAGACTAGGTATTCCATAGACATGAACACCCCCAGACAGTAAGTGACTGACTGTTCTCTCTCACATGAACACCCCCAGACAGTAAGTGACTGACTGTTCTCTCTCATTCCATAGACATGAACACCCCCAGACAGTAAGTGACTGACTGTTCTCTCTCTTCTCTGTCTCTCTTGATCCTCTGCAGCTCTCGCACCTTCCAGGCCTCGTACTCCTCCTCCTCATTTTCGTCGTCAGTGTTCACCACCTTGTCGACTGACGACACGTTCTGCTCCACTGCCAGCTCTGCTGCCACTGCATCTGCCACCAGCTGCACACACACATACATGTATGCTGAGTTGGTACTTTATGACTAAGTCTCGAGTCAAGAAATCCCTCTGTGTTTATCTACACGCACAATTAAACCAAAAATTTTTTTATTACTAATTACATAACTTTTCACGAACATGGTCGGCCAGCGTGCATGCCACACTAAAATGGAAGTGACCTCGAAAAGATACTTTCATGATTTGAAATTAGAAATTACTATGGTACATATATTTTTAAGTCTTGGTAATTTTTCTCCCCCTCTTTAAGTGAAACTTTGGGGGGAAACACTGCAGTTAATAGCAACAACTATTTTTTAGCAACGGAATTGTCTTAGTCTTCTTCCTCACTCTCTGAGACTCTCTCTTGCGGAGTTCCTCCTGTCTCTTCCTCTCAGCCTCCAGCTGCTCCTCTCTCTTCTCTGCCACCTCCTTCGCCCTGATCGTCACCCTGTCCACCCTGACAAACACACCACCCAATGATTTATAGCCACCGCTCACACCACCTTCACACACATACCACCGCTCACACCATCTCACACACATATCCCACACTCACCATCTCACACACATACCCACCGCTCACACCATCTCACACACATATCCCTATCTTGAAAAGCTCCTTTCTTTTAATGAAACCCCAGAAACAAGTCTATCTTAGCTCCGTGACCAGTATTAATTTGAGCCCTATCTCAGGACATCCCTGAAATGAAGACACCTCTCAAATAAGGACAGCTTTTCCTTCCCCACAACAGTTAATGCAGGACACTCACTAAAATGGCTCTTTGGTGTCCAGATTATAGGGTTTCCAATGCCTACATCCCCTCACATTGAATGCAGAAAGTCTCTCTCAGGCTCATGTTAAGTAGAACACATTAGATGCAGTGGGAATTAACACTCACTTGCGTACAAAGACAGGCTTGAGCCTTGGACCCATCTCGTCCTCAGAATCGCTGTACTCCTCATACTCTGATGACTAGAGGGCAGGAGAGAGACACACTTGCACACACTAGTTTGATGTTGTACGTAAGCATAATGCAGGGAAACGTATGACTTGTTGGTGTCATGTGCCCAAGTGAGCAACTTAAGGAAAAGATTCTAATGGCCAACATACACAGTTCAGATCTACTGCAGGACACAATGTCCAACGTACTTTCAATCTATGGGTATGTTAGGTCCATGGACCATCACATTGAACTTGCTTTATGTCTCGTGCAACAAAGTTGTGTCGTGTACTTTGGCCTAGATATAGTGCAAGCGGCCTTGGATGACGTATTCTCCGCTCACTAAAGAAAAGCACTCGTAGCACGGGATCTGCTGGTATACTGGCAACTTCTGTAGCTAGAATAGCCATTGACACACACACTCACAGAAAGACCAAGCACTGTAACCCTCGCTGCGCATGCATGCAGTGGGACATGAGGTAAATTTCGTTTCTGTTAGATACACATGATAGTCACATGACGTTGGCCCCACCTCCTCAATGTCGCTCTCCTCCTCATCCTGTACATCCAGGATGTCGTCGTCCATGGCCTTACGCCTGGCTCTCTCTCTCATCACCTCTCTCCTCCTCTCCATCCCCTCCTCATCCTCCTCCTCCGAGTCACTGCAGCAATATAAAATGCAACACATTCTTTGGGAGCTAAAACTCCTCAGTGTGCGATGTACACAACAGAAGCTTCTCTGAATTCTACAGTAAGATTTAGTGAGTAAGTGAGCCTAATGAAATTCGTTGCCTGACTGTGCATGCTATTTATACGCACTGTCACACAAATAACAAAACGGCTATGGATTTTACTTGCGCTGCTTTCGCTCTAAAGAGACCGAGTTGAGACAACTGGAGATGATTAATACAATAACACATGTAGTTGAACTGCAAAACACTTCAAAACACTAACCCAGGTGTGGTGTGTGTGTGTGTGTGTGTGCTATATACTGCTTTGCAGAAACTTTGCTTGGTGATATAAAAGACGTGCGAGTGATGAAATTAATTTACATACCTCTCACTACTGCTGGGAGCAATATGGTGGACATGCCTCATTAATCTTGTCGCCCCCTCCTCCTCTCCTCTCCCTCTCCCTCCTCCCCATCTTCCTCCTCCTCTTCGCCATCTTCCTCCTCCTCCTTGTCCTCCTCTTCCCCTCGTTCATACACCACTTCTGGTTCCGGAATGTGACGCCGACTACAGGAAAACGAGCCAGAGTCAAAAACAGAGGGTTATGAGAAGAACTTGCAGTGCATAACCCTTGCACCTTCACATGCCTGGTATACAGTACAGTGGAGTCTCTATCGTTATATTGAATTGCGGGGGACCTAAAGAATTTGTTCACAGTGAGGGGAATTTGTGTTCTATAGGGCTAGGCTCCGAGGGTGTGTTCGCAGTATTCAGAATTTTGTAAAGTATTAGTGTGGGGCACGTCCAAAAAGGTGTCCTTTATTCGGAGGGTACCATTTAGGTTCCACAGTAACCTTGACTGGCTCTACCTGGTGGTCTCCGCCATTGCCCGTCTCTCCCTCAGCCTCCTTAGTCTCGGATCGTCCCTCCAGTCCTCCTCCCTCACCTCCACCCTCACCCCCTCCCCGGTCTCCCCCTCCTCCCCAGCCCTCACACCCTCACCAAACCCCTCCTCCTCCTCAGAACTCTCCTCAGAGCTCTCTTCGGGGGCGTACTCCGGTCGACGACCACTGACATAGCGCGTCACCTTCACCTTCTGCATGCTCACTTCACCTACAGCCCATTACGTTGAGACTAAATTGTAAATGTACTCGAATGATATTTCACACCACTTCAATCTTATAAATTTGATCCAAAACTCATGGTAGACAGTAGCAAACCCCCAATTAATGTGACCACACCACATCTAGAATCCCTTTACTTATTTCCAGCTCTACCATAAAAACTGCTAACTGGATACCTTGAAACCCCATTGGGATTAGCATTACACTGTACATGCTGCACATGCTATGCTGTTGTATTAGAGTGCTTTCATAAAACTGTGACAAAACCACATCTCTACCCTCTCTTCTACTCCACAACGTGACTAGCTTTGCCATCTAGGGACACGAGCAACGTGGTGCGCTATAAAAGGAATCTCTTTCCGTGTCTCACCTTTCTTGTTGAGAACTGGGACGGCCCCAGCCGTGGAGCGGATCTGGTTGGGTAGCGACGCCATGCCGTAGTCACTGTACCGCCTCTCACTCTCCTCTCTCCTTCCCGACTAGCACACCACACGTCACAGATGCGTGCTCGCTCGCAAACCGCCTTACGTTACGTATACGTTGACGAAACCAAACCGTCACGTTACGTCTACGTTCACATAAACCCAACAAACAATTATACAGCGAACGATACAGAGTGATCAAATGATGATGAGCAGAGAAAGTGATGATGAAGTTAGGCGTGGCTCAGTTTGAACAGTGGGGACTGCAGCTGCTTTCAACTTTCCTGTAGGAAGGAAAAACAGACACACAAGTGAAACGTCGGAAGACCCTCCAAATAAGGACACCTCTCTATTTTTGGCAGACAGCTCTCTCTCTCACTCACCTCCTCTTGTGTTCCCTGGGTCTGGAGTCCTCCTCTCCCTCTCCCTCTCCCTCGGAGGAGGAGGAAGAGTCACTGGAGGAGGAGGAGGAGGGGAGACCGGTGTCCCGAGATGGGTCAACAGAGTCCGCCACTGCCGCAAGATCAGGACGCCTCTCCTAAAGGGCCACCATAGAACAGAAGTTAAACTAAGAACCCTCTGAATAAAGGACACCTCTCTAAAAGCACACTTGGTTTTGCCCACCACTAATACATTAATGTATTACCTCTGAATAAGGAACATTGCCCATGTCCCCAAAGTGTCCCTTATTCAGAGGTTTGACCGTATTCTAGTTCAAGGGAAAGAAAACTTCCCAGTGTTAACAGATGGGCTCTAGGCACAAGAACTCAGCTGTATAATAAAGTCAGATTTAAGTTAGCCAAAGAGAAGACAGACGTAGCTACAAGCAGTCGTAATGAACCTCAGTGGTAAGGCAGTTCTACTGCAATAGTGAACACAGTGCAAGGAGTATATAAGCTGCTTCATTGCGTGACAGCAGATCTTTAGTAGTGAGCCTACAGGGCACCTGCTAACCATGTGCATGAATTAAAAGTGTATATAGTATGCATGACAGCAGAACATTGGTGAGTGAAATGATCATGCCTAACTACATTTGACTGCAATTGTCACAAGAAAAGAAGTGCATCGTGTGAAAGCATGTGCACAGGAATGATGTAATGTAGTACATGTTTATACATTTTGTGGGTTGATTGTTCAATTGTGGTCACTGTTCATACCTTCACACATCCCAACACTAGACAAATTTCGTGCACTCAGGATGCTGGGCGTAGGGTTCATTGTCAATAGGTTTAATTAATGGGGATAAAGGAGATGACCTCCATCTAAATGAAAAGCACTAAAGTGCAAACCCTCGTGAACTGCACATGCGCGATACCGCTAATTGATGGGTTGGGCTAAAATAGCATGCACGCCGAGGGTTAACAATAACAATTAGGACACTCTCCCTAGCCAGGACAACTTTCACAACAACCACAACAGTAGGTCGGGCGCTCCATGCACACATTAGTTGAACAGCTATGGGCCAGCTCTAGAAAAAAATATGAGCTTGGTCCGAGTTCTAGAGAAAATATTACAGCTCTAAAGAAAAATATTTAGCCTTGGTCTAGCTCTAGAGAAAAAATTAAGGCTTGGTCCACGTCCAAAAACGTAAACCTGGGTCAGCTGATAATAAGCCACCATGAACTGCAGAGATAATGAACCTCAGGCCATCCTGAGGCCAACTCCGGACTGAGAGGGAACTGATGAACGTGGCAGCCAGCAATCAAGAGAGAGGCAGCACACTTCAAACATGAAAGCAAAAAATGCTCACTCAGACCGTTTGTATCATTATCAAGGGTATGAGTGTCTGACTGCATTAGCCGGTATCCAGTATGTGGACCGTGTGGAGGAGCAGAAAGGAGCCAATGTACAGTACATGTGTCAACAACATGGTAACGAGGTAGAAAGGCAAGGCAAGGCAAACAAGTCAACTACACCCAGGACACCTCTTTCTTTTCAAGGATAAAAAAGAGCTATATAGCCTGGGTGGGATTCGAACCTATGACACTCTGCTTTCCTTCTTTGTTAAGAAAATGGTATGTCAAGAATGCTTTGAAAATGAATAGCTAATGAGGTTTATTTTGGGGTAAGACACCTACACACAGGTCTCTTAGTGATAAGATACCTGTGGTCTGGTGGCTTACTTATAACTGAGACACTTCCGTTTACAGTACACGCAGACCAGGGCGTCCAGAAGCGACTATATATCACGAGCTGAGACTGCTCAGACCTCGCCTTGACTCGAACAGTTACGATATCTGCTAATAGCAGTGATTCTGTGTCATCATCGACGAAGTCATCGACAGTGCCCAGTGTGGAATCGGGAAGCCTCTCCCCTGCCGGGCTATCGTCGAAGAGTTGAGACGTTGCCGCTAATAGTCAGTGTCAGCATCGACACAATCGGGGACTGCGCCCGGTATCGGCTTGGGAGAACTCTCCTCCCCAGTGCTTTCCTCAAAGAGCTGCTACCAACCAAGGTTGAACGCGAACGAGCTACAGCCAACAGTACACCTCTCCATTTTCTTAACAACTAAGACGACAAATTCTTCAGTGGTTCTGCAGCCCTTGTGGTCGGCTGAATGATTCATTATAAACCTCGGCTCTGCCTCGGTTACTATTGCGTCATTCCAGCCTCCCACGTGGGCTTTAGAACCACGAAGACACTCGAATTTGCAGTTTATATACCAATACAAAGATATCTGTTGTTTTTGTACTATAACTACTTCGACATTGATGTCACTATGGCTTGCATGCTAGGGATTAATGGACACGAGCAACGACTCAATTCAAAGGCTGCCTCATTCTGACTGTGAGAAAAGCTCAACGACACTACTGCACATTTCATAGACCACTTTTACTGCACATTATACCATTGTAAAACTGGGTACTGTGTGTGTATATAGCACAAGTTGTAATCCTGGCTCCTTAGTCTCCAGTTCTTTCACTGCTTTGATCAATGAAAAACTTCTGTTTAAACTGCTTGCAAATGTGAAAAAAATCATCAGCTCTTGACTGTAAATTTGTTTGTTGCATGGTCTATCATACCATTTGAAGTTGCATGCAACTTTGTCCACGCTACAAAGTTGCGTATTATGGGGTCTTAAGGTGCAACAGTATATACCAAGCACTCATTCTTCTTTCCTTAGTACAAAGCCAGTGAACATGTATCAACATACCTTCAGTACAGTGTACCACTTCTTGGAGAGTTTGGGTCGGCCCCTGACCGTCTTGCTCCATACGAGGGGGAAATTTGTCACGCTGCAGAAGTTCTGAGTGACTGCGATGCTGTTGTCCAGGTTCAGTACCACGTGCCACCAGCCACACGGAACAAAGACCGTCTCACCAGGACTCTGCAGGATCTCCAGCTGCATTCAGTGTGTCGCGTGTCGTGTGCACGTGTGGTGTGTGTGTGTGTTTGTGATCGGGGAAAGAAAGAAGAGAGGTAAAGTGTAGGCAGGACTAAAGCTAACGAGAGAGGGCGGGCGGCTTTTGTCGGCGCCACCGCATGCAGCCAGCCAGGTGCTTAAACGTACATGTAAACCTATCCACAAGTCCAGCAACATGCAGGTGCAGTGCTAGGCTCTTTGTTACTGGTGTGTGTGTGTGTGTGGGTGTGTGAGGAGATGGTATATACAATAGCAGAGGCCTCTTCCCCACGGTGCTTGTAGAAGAAGGCCACGATGGATATCATACCGCAGGCGAGCGAGCAATTACCTATTCATCTAAATTGTGTGATTTTCTATTTTCTACATTTTGGTACATGGTTCTATATCAAGTACTGTAATCTCATGTAAAGCGGCTCAATTTTGTGTGTACGTTCGCAGTCCAAAAATGCATTGCATTTGCACTAGGGTTGTACGAACCGGTCTGTACTCCCTTGGCCACGAGGGGAGCTGGGTCTTGGGGTAGACGTGGACGAACCAGGTGATGGCCTCGTTCTTCTGGTTCCCCCCATCTCCTGGGGGGACCTTCAGGAGGTCTCGGGGGGTCTGAGGAGGAAACAGCACCCACCTGCAGTCAGGATACACAGTCGTTGACTTGTTTGTCTTGCCTTTCTACCTCGTTACCAAGTTGTTCAGACATGTTACTATATAATAGTCTCTGCTGCGATAATACAGATACACTTTCTTACTGCCAAATTGTATATACAATTAATTATTGGATTTACAATGCAAGCTGTGTACATATTATGACTAATAGAGCAACAAAATTTGGCGACACTTTGAGATTTGCACAATTGAAGTCCAGCAAATTTTTAGCAGCTGTAGACACTATTATAGCAATGACTGCCAAATTTAAAAAAATTTGCAGATTAAGGTTTTGGTCAGAATCAGCTCAATACGTTAATGAGTGCCAATACTACTTGTTACACGTATAATATGTGTGGTATACAGTATTAGACAGAGTATGTACATAATTGGACCACTGCACTGGGATTAATCTTACATTATGCTAATCACATCTATACGCCATGCGACGAGTAATATTGGCAGCCAGTTAATTGGGCAATTCTGGCTGAAACTGGACTCAGTAAAACTCAAATTTAAAACCTGCTCCTCCACACATGAATGCATATGTGCAACTGTATGAACTAAAGTGAGGTTAATTTATTGACTATCACCAGAAATGTGGGGATGAACCGAAAACAGGAGAACCTGGACCAGTTAGTGGACTAGTTACTGGATTAGTTAGTCGATTAGTTACTGGATTAGTTAGTCGATTAGTTACTGGATTAGTTACTGGACCAGTTAGTGGATTAGTTACTGTCTACTACACAATCAACACAATCAATATTGAGTTATATGATTGCGTCTGTTTGCAAAATTGCTTGTATAATGTGTATGGTATGTGTAGACAGGGCAGAATAATGTGGCAAATTTGGCATTAATAGCATTCACCAATCATATGTAGGCTGCTTAGTATCCAGAGATGTGATGTACAGTTTAAAGGGAATGTGGCAGTTGTATAAAGGCTAAATTTAGAAATGCTACTAAAGATATAACTGAGCACAGTGCAATTGAGTTCCACTTTTGATTTTCTAAATTTATCCCTTAATACTGCCACATTCCCTTTAACACCACTATGTGGGAAATAACCACCACTACATGCTCTCAGGTCTTGCACTTTATCAACGCATACATACATACCTATTGGACATGGTTTACGTAATACTTCAATGTCGAGGGGAACAAGCAGTAGCTACAGTTCCACTCATCACACATACCTCTTGTGTCCTCTGACGACGGAATTCCAGGCGCTGGTACCAAGAGGGTCGATGTGGATCCCTGTGCCAGACCTGGCAGGACCCATGACGAACCATCGATAGGGGGGTCGCCTGTCCTCCCCCACATACTGGAACAGGTCGTCACGGAAATACTTGGGAATCTCGTAGTCCTCTCGGAGACCCGACAGCTTCCGATGCTGCAGAGACGGGGAAACAGTGTGGAAATACAGTTGAACCTCAGTTTATCTGGGCAGCATAGGACCAAGGCATGCTCACAAGATGGTATGTTATATATGTTGATAAACATACTGTCACAGAAAATGCATAGCCAACTGGCTCTGAAGTATAATACAGAGGTATTTAAAGTGATTTGTCCACATCATCTCTTTGCCTATCTATTCCTTCTTCCCTCTCATCCTTACTTCCACCCTTCCATGCTGCTGTCTGTTCCAGCCCCTTCTCTTCCAATAGCACACACATTAAACACCCCACGCAAACCTCTCTAAACCAGCCATCAAAGATGTATTATATACATCTCTGGTGCACCTAACCTTTCACTCCCCTTCATTCAACCACTTTCTCTCTCTAACCCTTACTTTCACCCTTCCTTGCTAGTCCCCCCTCTCTTCCAATAACACACACACACACACAAAGCCCCCTCTCCAAATGAGCCGTCAAAGATGTACAGTGGAGAGTTGTCTCTGGTCCACCTAACCCTTCACTCTCCTTCTTTCAACCAACCTCCCCCTCTCACCCTAGCCCCCCCTCTCTTCCAATACACACACACACACACACACAAAGCCCCCTCACACACCTCTCCAAATGAGCCGTCAAAGATGTACAGTGGAGAGTTGTCTCTGGTCCACCTAACCCTTCACTCTCCTTCTTCAACCAACCTCCCCCCTCTCACCCTAGCCCCCCCTCTCTTCCAATACACACACACACACACACACACAAAGCCCCCTCACACACCTCTCCAAATGAGCCGTCAAAGATGTACAGTGGAGAGTCGTCTCTGGTCCACCTAACCCTTCACTCTCCTTCTTTCAACCAACCTCCCCCCTCTCACCCTAGTCCCCCCTCTCTTCCAATACACACACACACACACACAAAGCCCCTCACAAACCTCTCCAAATGAGCCGTCAAAGATGTACAGTGGAGAGTCGTCTCTGGTGCAGTGCATGTAGCGAACAAAGTACTTCATCTTGAGCTTCACGGAGTAGCCGTCGTTGTCCTCTCCACACTTGAACCTCTGGTTGTGGTACTTCTTGGCCAGTCTCTGCAGACACACACACACACACACACACTCTCTGTACATAACCATGCAACGCTCCGTACATAATGTCTGTACTACCGTTTTATAGTGGGTTTTGTTTTTGGAGGAAAACTTGTTTTTCACTCTTGGAACTCCGTTTTCTTTTACTTTTCAAAATTGTTAAGTATCCAGGTGCACGTGTACTCACGAATGAAATTACGAAATGAATGAATGGAAGTTTAACCTCGGTAAATAAACCTTCTTATAAGATATCTGACGATAGCTATTACTTTTCAAACGGTTGTGCATCCAGATGCACATGTGATTTACATGAGAATGAAAATTAGAAACGAAACTAACGTTTATTATGTACTTGAATGGAAATATAACCTCAGTAAATTAACCTGCTATAGAATACAGTGTATCTGAATGAGTATAAGTCCACGAGCTCACACAATACAACTCAGTCTACCTGCTGAGTGAGCACTTCGTCAAGTACATGTTCCCCAATGCAACTCAGTCTATATAGTATAAGTCCACGAGCTCACACAATATTTTATACATTGATGCGACGTTTGCTCTTGTTCAATGTCCTGTGAAGAACTATACAATGGAACAACCACGCAGCTTGTTGCCAATGTCTTACGTGGGACACCACTTTTGGCGAAAATTTTTATTCGCTCAATGCTGGGCAGTCAACTGGCATATACTGTACTTGCAGGCTGCTACTTCAACAGTCCCGCTTGAAAATTTAATATTGTGGCAAATTACACCCTCCCACTCTCAACAGCAACGAGGTCACTCAATTCCAGGAAGTCACAGCAGACACACGTGGACCCACACACTCTGTCCTGTCACAGCAGACACGTGGACACACAGACACTGTCCTCTGATCCCTTGCCAGAGGAGGTTGCACACAATCAACATTCCTAGGCCCTTCGCGCATGTGGTAATGATGTAATCAAATATTGTATCTGCAAGACGAACGAAAGAGCTCTGTCTGGCTAGTGTTCAGGCAGACCAAGGACTTACTATTCCTCGATTGTTAACGGGTACCACAGAGAACACTTGTAGCGTTGCAAATGCCATTCTTGACGAAGTGCTAACTCAGCAGGTAGACTGAGTTGTATTGGGGAACATACATCTCTAAGGTGCATATGATGCAACCGATGACGCATGCACTACCTCATCTGCAGCCAAACTAACCGCTGAATACTGGGTCATTAGCTGAGATTGAAGGGATTTCCCCCATACCTCAAGAGTCCATTTCCTGCTTGCCTGCCAGTCCAGCTGGGAGTGGGTGATGACCACTGGCAAACCTGGAGCCTCATACTGCTGTATGAACTGCCCCTCGTTCACCTGCAGCCAACACCAGTGACAGAGAGCCAGGGAAATGATCATCATACTACATACATATATACAACAGGCGTGAAGCAAATTGATATCAGGAGAGATTTGCTAGGAGTTGCTCAGGAATGTTTTAGCTACCGTGAAATCTACGAAAAAGAAACCTCTGAATAAATTGCACCTCTTGACAAAGGACACTTGGTTCTGTACCTCATATTAATACATACTTTAGTAAGGGGCCTCTTTCAATAACGGGCAAACACTAGTATCCCTTATTGATGTATATATACATCCTGTTGCATGCTGCTATAGCTCGATGTATTTTACGCACACTAATCAATTGCACGGCAGTCTTTATCAATGGTAAACACCTTCAGTGCAGTCAAAGCATAGTGAAGTATAGCTCTACCTCCAAGTAGTTAATTCGAGGGCAGTTGTCTTGAACCAGCTCAGGGGCCAGCGGGAAAGAGACGGCGTAGCCAAATCTTGTCCACCCCGCTTCTCCCTTCAGCTCTGCACCAACAGAATGACAACCTCACGAGTGGAGTAGAGTAGCTAATAGAGTAAACAGTGACCTGGTCTCGCCTTTGCCCGAGCCTCCTCGACTTTCTCTCTGCTCCTGTCGTCAAGTGAGCTGATGGCACAGGCCATGCCCCCGTTCCCAAGCCGGCTCCCACCTCTGGCTACTCTCTCTCTCTTTAGCTCAGGCGCTCTGTACTGTGAACTTTGAACCCAGACCGAGCGGAATTATTGCGCATGCGCACAATCGATCCTCGTCGCTGTGTTTTTAGCGCGGCGCGCGTGAAAGAGTGATCAAGAGTTATTATACCAGAGTTTCACGGACAAATCAGGAAATAATATGATACAAACAACAAAATTGAGAATTGAATAATATGACATCATACATAATAAGAACTGGTGGTAGGAGAGCAGGAATAGTTGACGTCCTCGTTCACAAACTGCACAACTCTGCCATTTCCTTGGTGAGTGCAGGGGTTACTCATTGATTTGATCCTGCAGCGACAGATTTACACAGAGCTTAGAGTGGCAGCTGCTATGAACTAGTACGAGAAATCACTCACGCTGGAGGCTGACGTCCGCGCCTCATCGAGAACAGGACCTTTCTTCGCCGGTGCATGAACGACGCAATAACAATCACCATGACGCCGATGAGAAAAACAATGAGGGCTCCGACTCCTATTGATGCCATGTCAAATACAGTTAGTGGACCGTCGCTGAGGTCTGAACTGGAGTCTGTTTCTGAGTCCGTTGGCTTTGAACCAATCGTCGAAATACTATCAGTTGTTGGTGCGGTCGTGGTCGGTTCAGATTGGTCCATGGTTGGTCCAGAGTGGTCCGTGGTTGGTAGTGACCCTGTGGTCGAGGGGGGAGTTGCCACGTTGGTTGGGGCGAGGGTAAAGGATTTGGGAGGAGCTGTGATAGTTTCAGTGATCCGAGGAGGGGAAGGAGGGGTGGGGGAGGGAGAGGAGGAGGAGGAAGTGGATGAGGTTGAAATCTCAGTAGGAGGAGAGTAAAAAGGAGAGAACCGACCTAAATAGCAGACACAGAGCAGGGGAGTGAAAAGTGACACAGTCTGAGAATGCACACATATATAAGAGCTTACCACACATGTTAATGCAGTCTTGTTCACTGTCAAACATGTTGGGTTGTCTCTCCAGACAGTTCACAAAGAAGGTAAGGCCGTGGCACCTTTTCTGGTGGGAGTTATAGATCCACACGTCTAGGAGCTCAAAGTCGCTGCAGATGTAGTTATTCACACCCATACTGCATATCTCCCCTGCACAATACAACGTAGGTATGTACGGTTAAAGATAAGGTATGTATCACAGAGTCCATTTATGTGTGTGTTTGTGTGTGATGCAGCAGAGATGGGCCACAAAGGATGCCAAGATCCGTGAAAATATTGCCACTGACACAACCACCTCGCAAATAGCTAATGACGTTCTAATCAAAACACACGCAATCAAACTTGGCAGATTACCGGATTCCTTTGCAGCTATATGATTCAAAGCGGGTGCTATGGTGACGGCTACTTATAAAGCAAGCCCCACATGGATTGAGTCACACGCAGTTCCAGCTAGGGGTTGTGAGTCAAAGCCAAGGAATTTGACTAGGAAAAACAAGCTGACGTGACTCCCGGCTTTGAAGGGGGTGAACTATATAGTCATCTGTGCATGTTTGTGTATGTGTTCACACAATGACACAGAGTGCAAAATTGAGTATGTATGTATGTATGTATGTACTACCTGGGCTGAGAGTTGGTTCAGGTGGAGGTGGAGGGGTGGCTGTAGGGAATAACAAATCATATCCGGGTTACAACACACTGGACATCATTAAACGTACACAAAACGTACCAACGCTAAAGTAATTGTTAATGCAGGGACAGAATAGCATTAGTCCTGCAAGTCATGGCTCCACCTTACAACAATATTAATTGGTTGACATCACTAAGCTCAATAGCTGACTGAGGCATATTGGGCGTTGTTGTTTGGTAACAGTAAATGTAAACAACTGTCCATAACAAAGTGGTCGTTGTGCAGAATCTTCCCTTCATGAACAAGGTGGTTGCTCAATCCCAAACACACATGACTTAATACATACTGTATATACCTGGAAGAAGAAGATGATGAACAAAACTTCCTATCATAGCCCCATACATCTGTGATGCTAGGTACCATGCCCATCCCCATATACTAAGTGCTACCGTACTTTGTGATACATACACACACACACACCCATTCACATTATAGAGGCTACATTACATACTGTTTGTAACGGTGGGAATATGTGCGTTAATCTCTTCATTCAGCTATTCCTCAAAAGAGTCGTGTTTCTTTTGATGATGTAACTAATGGGATTGCTGCATTCACCATTGAGCAGTTGGCAGTGCATGCACTGTTGCTTCCTGTGGCCAGAAGAGGAAAGGCAGGCCCGTGCGGCTATAGACGGATCCTCCAGTTATGGTATTGTGTCTGAGAGACACAATTAGCCTCACTGTGTGGCATATGGTTGGTGGATTAGTCACGTCTGCTGCACTAAAAACACTAATTTATTTCTGTTAACCATCCAACCTTCCGCTCTGAAGGACAACAGGTGTTTGGCTGATGTAGAAAAGCGACATTAAAGCCAGTACTGTACCGGTTTACTGTACACTTTTTTGGCTGCGGTGGAGACAAAGTATGCAATAAAGTTTCTGTTTATCATAGCCCTAATCCCTTCTGTGATGCGGTTTCTTAGTAACGGCAGCCTCCGTGCCAAACCAGACTCTCACAGTAAGTGGAATTCCTGGAGTTCCTGCAGCAATTGCTCACTGCATGGGGCTGCTTACAAGTGAGTCAATGGACTAATACCAACCACAGCTGTTTAACAGGACCAGTTGCACCCCCTTATGTCATGGACACTAAAAAATACCCTGTTACTTTAAAAAAGAATCCACCAGTAACTAGCTGGGTTCTTACCAACTGGACACCACTAATTGAGAATGTTGTTATGCTCATGATTATGCTCCTAGTTGGCACTTGGAGGTTCACAGGTGTGCAATGTCAAGAATGCAATAATCCTGCACTGCGTACACTTGGTCTATCCTGTATCCCGATGCCTATTCCAAGATGGGAAGGGTTTTCAAGCAACACATCGTGAAAAATTCCAGTTACATCATTCTGAGGAGAGCCCGTCTATACGTTCCTGTCTGTTATTTCAGCCACACCTACATTAAATACCACTATAGAGCTCTTACCTATTACACTATGAAAGAATGTTACTGGGCAGGCCACCCTACATTCACTAAATTCATTTCCACGGTTACCAACAAACAGCCAATGTCTCAAATTTTTTCCTTTGTTCATTCGGGAATTTTAACCGAGGAATTTGAAATTTAGCAGAAATTGTCTGAGATCCCCAGCTGGTCAGTGGCACACAAACACAGTTTGACACTTCACAGGGCCAAGAACAATTTGTAGCTAACAACACTACAGCATGTGGTATAAAGTGATTGTGTAAAGGCACTGTCCGTCCCACTATCACCATTACATGCCCTGCACCTCCCACGGCAATTAAACCTCGTCTGCCTACAGTCCGAATCCCTCGCTAAAGAGTATAGACAGACGCCCTTGCAATAGTTTCTTTCCCCAAGGACATTCTTGCAGGTAATTAAACACTCACATAATGATGTTGTTTTTACATTAGAGGGTTTCCAACAAATTAACTACTACCACCAACCACGAATTATACAAACCACATGCAGGCTAAATTTGACATAAAATATTTCTACCACTGTGTCTTTACCATAGATCAAAATGAATGCAGAAAGCTGATTTCCTATCATAATACTTACAGTTGCAAGTGTTATTGCACTCGAGCAAAGAGTTGAACAACTGATTGCCTGGGCAGCCCCAGTTGGGCCAACTGTAACACCCCTAGACGTGGCGTTGTAGTAGAAGCCTGGACGAAAGGGGCCGGAGCAACTGGAGGGGTCCGGAGGGCTCTGGTAGCATCTAGAGGGGAGAGTGCAGCTGGAGACCTGCAGCAGAGCCAGGAGAACCAGGAGAACCAGGAGGGAGAAGGTGGAGAATGGAGAGTTGGAGGGGAGGGAAGGAGATGATTGGTGTCTTTGTTTTCTGCAGTGTGAGGCTGTGTGTTGTTTGTTTTGCCTGACAACAGCGTGTCTCTCAGTTTCCATTGCGTCCTGTGATCTCCTGCAAAAGGGAATCGATGTCTCAATCACGCGTACACGCCTAGGTGTGTATTGTTAACGAGCGAAAACACACGCATGGTCGCACATGCGATGGGCTAGTCCTCCCGCTCGGTCTGCGTGCTCATTTGTACCTCTACGGACTGCACACTAATGCTCACCTGTGCACAATGATGTGATGCTATACGTCTCTGTCCCGGCCGCTATCTGCAGAAGATTTATCTGACAAGCATCATTATGCAAACGGATTTATAAGCGGCGTCCGAAACGGAAGTATGTTTACTCACCGCTTACGCATGCGCACTCGCTGTTTCGCGCTCGATCGATCGTCCTGATCTCTGACAAGCAAAAATGAAAAAATGGGTGAAAAGAAGGGTGGCTCCAGCCCAAGCTTCAGGAGGATATGGAAATGGCGGAGAAGACGTCTACAAAACCTCGGTTTCCGCCAATCGATCCCAACACCGCGGGTAGGGACTGACAGCTGCATTAGACTGCGGTGTGCACACAAAGTAGTCCAGGCGTGTTGCATGTGGCGGGTGATGTTAGTCTCTATCAAAACCGTAGAACGTAAGTGGATGCTTGCGGTATGATTAGCTGTGTACGAGCATTCCTGGACATTTCCCCCGCTTTTCAAGCAGACAGTATATACTTACTTTGTCCGCGTATATACAGAACTGGCTTGCAAGGTGTAATTGTTTGTTTGCGTCACCAGAGGCTGGTGTAGGCGCACATAGCTACAATTCACTGTCAATACACCTCCGGTGCAGCTGGTGGCCCTAGCTCCAACACTGGAGCAGTGTGCTGACAGAATTGTATAATTATACTGTATGCATACATACATAATGTATTGTGCTAATAATATGTGCACTGTGTGCAGGGACAATGTTATTTTCAAGACTGAAGCCCATCAGGTAATGAGGTTTAGCTAAAACTGTGAGGTCTTAATTAATGAAAGAATCTCTTTGGCATCTCTGCAATGTTGCGACTTTGTCGAAGCGGGTCAAGTTTGGGTCACGAGGCGCTGACACTGCGGGATTTGACTGTGATTTTGAGCGTTGTTAGGCAAGAAGACGCCTTACATTGGGAGTTGGTTGCAAACAAGAAGTAAGACTCGTGCAAGTCTGTTGCATATTTGACATTTTCCGAGTACTACCTGTCAAAGAAGTAGAAGATGAGGGGCAGAGGGATGAGAAATTAATTCCATTAAAAACTCTGACAACGCAAATAAGCATTGTTCCCTTGCCATATAGCAAGGCTTAGCGGTTTGTGTGAACAGTCGGGGCTGCCAAGATTGTGTGCTGGTTTAGCAGGTTAGCTGAAGTAGGCACTGTTGGTAATAAGCCAAATAACCCCATGAAATATTAATTAAATGCATAATTGAATTCCTGAAGTGAATGCTGCTGTTTTTGAGAAAGTCTATCGGAGCAATTCCCAGAGTTAGCCATTCAGTCCATGGCCGGGAGCGATGAACATAGCCAGCTCTCCTTTCCTTTTGGCCAAAAAACCCCGTGACATTAACATTAACTCTACCTAATCCTGGACAATTGTGAATGAGCCATCTGGCGTTACACATTTGGTATATACCATTCTGCCAATTTGTGTGTGTATACACAATAGGGGCTCCTCTCAGTACTTTATGCGGTATTTATTCAGTGTGTGCGTGTGCATGCGTGTTAAGTGTGGCGCCATTCAGGTCAAGGGGCTCTGTTACTGCATACTACAAGGTGAAGGTGTCGACCTAATGTCCCTGTGAATGCGAGAAACAGTGCCGTATTTCAGCCGCTGTGTTTGCCCATTTGCTGGTCCATCCCTCAAAACACTAATGCAGGCAGCCTCAACTGAATGCATGCCGTGTGTGATTAACTATTCAATGTGTGTGTCGAGAGAAGTCTTTGATGGGAAGGGTTGCATTTGAGAGTGGTGTATGATTACGTATGTACGTAACTTTATGCAGTGTGGGTGACGAAATCCCTGCTGAAGATTGCGTGCATTAGTACAATAGCCTACGGACCAGTAGGCCATTATAATCTGTGGCAAGGGAGGCAAACTGAATGTGGCGTATGCAGTGTGTGTGTGTGACGCAATCCTTGCTTGCCAGTCCACTGATGAAGAAAACGCCCTAAGTTTCACTGACATTGTGGACGAAGATGAACGGACAACAGAGGGGAGGGTACAACGTGTCTTTGTCGGTTGGTTTGTGGACAGCCTTGCATTCAGGTTAGCTCCCTGCTAACTTTGCAGATATCAGAATACTCTAAATCCAGAAATGTTGGCGTCCATTAGTTTTAGCGGTTTCACCAATAGGTCACTTTTTGGCGTCCATTCATTTTGGCGCTTTGAAAGTTAATCACACATACAGGTTTTCCTGTTAGCGTCCTTTTTATTATCTTCGCCAAATTCGCCAAAATTAATGGCGCGCCAACATTTCTGGATTTGCATTACATTACAGGAATCTGGATATATACGTTTTCAATGTGCCTCTAACCCAATACAGTAGACTCCACAACACTTGCTCGGTAACTGTATGCCTCCTTTGGTTCAAGTGCCCACTAATGTTCTTGTTACGTGCTGTTTCCCCATGTGTACAAGTCCCCCCCCCCTCACATCATAGATTATTGGCACTGTGTTTTGTAACATGTTATTAACTGTTTCATGTTTATGGAGTTGGGTGTCTTTGGTGGTTTAATCCCCCCGGTCTGCTCCTACACACCGAGTAATATTGTTCCATAGCACAGTGGTTTGAAGTTTGCCTTTGAGTTGTATTGTGATTCGAACCCCTATACCAGCTCAGAGTGTCGTGGGTTCGAATCCCACCCAGGGCAACTCTTCTTCTTTTGAAAGAAAGAAATGTCCTGGGTGAAGTTGACTTGTTTGCTTTGCCTTGCCTTTCTACCTCGCTACCACATGATATATCTGCAGACTTGCCATGCTGCTTGTTATATTACTCAACTGCCTTGTCATTGGAATACAGACAGATCGATACCTAGTAAGTAAGTTGTATATAAAGGGTGTCCCCCCCAAATACGTACACAACCTTCCCTTGCTATGGCAATATAATATTATAATCAGGTAACAAATCACCATTGGAATGCAATTCTTGTACCCAACTTCCTGTATTTACTCTGTTTGTACAACAGTACATCGGTAATGAACATGGGATTTACATAAGGAAATCCTCAAATGTAACTACAACCAATTGAATGCAGTGCATTTTTGGCGAGCGGGAACGACCCAACTAATTAAGGGGAACGAGTTAATATAGTACAGTTTTCTTTCCCCAAGAATAGTTCTTGTGCGATTTAACCCCTGATTAAAGGACATCTCGCTATTACGGACATTATGTCCCAGTGGTGTCGAGATTGGAGGGGTTCCACTGTATAACGAAGTGTGTGGATACAACGATAGCCATGTGTATACACAGGAGGATAACTATGGAGCAGTGTTTGTGGCTCTGGACAAGCTGTTTCTGACTGTATTTGTACTGGAGATTCTGGTTAAGTGGTACAACGATTTCCTTGGGTTTTGGACGACCAGTTGGAATGTTTTCGACTTTGTCATCGTCGCTGCTTCCATCCTTGGACCTAGTGAGTTGAGATAAGGAGGAGAAGGTAGCATTATGTTATAGTAGCACACTAGCCACAAGATATCCAAAAATCAAGCACCAAAACTCTTTATTCTCTCATCAACTGACAAACCTGTATTCGATGTAGATGCCCAGCCCTTGAGAACTGGGCATCTTTCATTCGTTTCATGGAATACAGTATATAGGAGACTTCAGCTACATCATAAGGTGTCATTTGCGATTTGAGCAGTGACTGGCCATCTTATCTGTGTGAGAAAAAGTCTCCCTTACCTTTAGCTTCGTGCAACTCTGGTATATGGGAATGATGGGCCACACAAATGCAAATAAAAGTGTTGGTCGTCATGTTGCATGGACAGTCATATAATGTTGCAAGAGACTTTTGCAAAGTTATGCCATGCATATTGGCCTGTTGTTTTGACTGCATTCAGACACCAGGACAGTCAAAATGTTAATAAGTGAGTGTTCTGTTCACAGCGGGGCTTCATTTACTACACTGGCAATAGAGTCAACCCACTGTGGGCCACCGCAAAGGTTGAACGGGTAACCACTTTGTCGCCGATGCCATTTACCCTGTGGGCACACATGTTGTGGCCCAGCCTGTATAGCTGCCATTTGGGCTGCCTTTCTCTGGACTGTGGAATGAATGAGCTCCTAATGTGACATAGCCTTAGCAGTGCACTGCGCTTCCTGTCCAAGAATGGGGATGGACAAGCTGGCTTGTTGGCCGGGGCAGCGTATGGGATAAGGTTAGACTGGCTGCCCTATTGAATCATTCAGGACTAATTTGCCAATGTGTGAAAACCCTAAGTGGTGTATGCATGTGAGACAAAAGACGGTACAAATGGTGCTGTAACGCACGCCTCAAAGGGTGCAGCAGTGTCATTGTTTGCCTGCTGTTCCCTCTCTCTTTTTTACTGCCAGAGAGAATGGAACTGTGCTGGAGATTAACAGGCGTGCCAATGTTTTAGCAGTTTGTGTACTTGTGTGGCTATAAAAGCACACTGTGCTGTATATATGTCTAAAGGCTATACATTGAGGAGTTTGAATCCAAGAGGGTGTGCGCTTTTTTTGGTGGATGTTTGGATATGTTGGGGGATATTTGTTGTTCACGTGCTCTTGTGGCTACTATAGTTTTGCTATTGAAACAAGTAATTCGGTGCATATTATACCGTTTTGCTGGAACCTCAATGGTAATGGTTGCAGTTTTGGTTCGAGTTTAGTTTGGAGCTGGACAGCTAGACTACAAAACCCTCGGCAATGGCGCAGCACGATACTCGACTACAAATTAAAAAATCCAACTTTCCCAGGCTATCAGTGGATCTCTCTCCTGCGTGTGTGTGTGTGTGTGTGCGTGCGTGCGTGTGCGTGTGTGTGTGTGTCCGTAGGTCTGACATTCCTCAGTGGATCGGGAGTGCTGCGGATCCTCCGAGTACTGCGTGCTCTCCGCAGCCTCAAGAGCATCAGTGCCCTCCACGGACTGCAGATAGTGGTCCACACCGTCATACACTCCATCCCTGGTGGGCACGTATGTACTGCCTCTGTATAGCTTCAGTGGGTGTATGTAGCATAATTGGTTGGTATGTAGCTTATATCACCACTGGGTATTTGCTTTCGCTTATTGGTGGGTATTATGTAGCTTGTTGCCAGTTGGGACATCTAGCCCATTTCTTTTGCTAAAGTAGCTTATTGCCTCCCTTGGGTGGGTACGTATATAAATTGCATTGTAATTTGAGGGCGAATTACTGCCTTTGCACTTTGGTGGGTACAGATGTAGTACTTTAGTAAACATATGTACTACCATGTGTGGGCTTTAAAAGGTCAATGCTATATACAGCTATGCAAGTCATGTGTTTTATACTACCACTGTGTTGGGCTTCTTAAAAGGTCAATGTCAATGATATACAGTCTCATGCAAGTCAATGTATATGTTTTTTGCATGCTATTTACAGTTAGAGGGTTTTGGGTTTTCAGGCTTTCAAAGGTATCAGCATGTTACAGTGCATGCGATAAGGTTTTGGGTTTGTTCTGAGAAAGTGTCAGACCATTGGTATATTTGGCCGGACATCCTAACAAGTTGTTGTCCTGGTAGATAGAGGCTAAGCAACAGTCTGTGTAGAAAGTTCACAGATGCTATTACAGTCCCTCCTCTCTGCCTAAGTGACTGTGTAAACTTCCTGTGTTGCGCGCGCTTACTATACGCAACGCGTATATAGTGCGCGTGTTTAACTATATACGCAATTAAGTGCACGTGGGCATGCCCGGACTTAATTGGCCGCCGGCCGCGCAATCAACTACGAGCACTGATACAATGTTGTTTGTACCCCTAGCCATAATGTAGTCCTGTAGCCTGCCTTAGTTAATGAGGGTATCCGGCAGATGGTGCACTGTTGAGAGCTCAAAGCCAGTCGGAATGAGCTTCTTTCTCCTTGTATTACCTCAGTTGGCCCCATGGTGTTTGCATACATACATCATCGTAGCTGCACGTACAGAGGATACCGTATCATAGAGTGGAGTGTTAGTGCAGCAAACCCACAGTGTACAAACATGCAAAGTCCCAAGCCCAACGGACCACTTACAACATCGCCCCTCCCTTGCCTTACAGATATGGCAAATATTGTCGCTCTACTGCTGATTATAATGTTCATATTCTCCATCATTGGCCTCTCGCTATTCGGTGACAGCTGCCCAAGGCACTTTGGGACACTTGGCAAAAGTAAGCGCTCCGGGCACCAGTTGCCAATAATTATCATTGGGTGAACTATTTTGCCCTGCAGGCATGTTCTCTCTCTTTGTCTGTGTGACTCAGGATGGCTGGATGGGCATCACTGAAGAGCTACAAGTTCAGGGGTCTAATTAATTGCATTACTCTGCCAGACACACAGCCCTCTGCATATCCAATGGTAGCTGCACACGTATTTTGAATGAAGCTCTTGGCACAGGAGCTGCACTGCCGTTAGCTAATTCAGCCAAAAGGACCGGTTTTGCTGAAGGAAACATATGGCGGACTAAACAGGGTGTTTCATCGAGTGGTTGGGTCATTAATCTCATTTACGTCACCACACCACTTGCACTACACAATAAAAAGCACTAGGGGCCAAAAGTTTACAAGCAGGACCCAGACATGCCAGGCCATAATAGGATGAATTTGTAGTTTTATCTACCCCTGTAGTGCAGGGCAAAGTCTAAGGCAACTTGTTTCTCTCCCCACTTATACCTCACAGCAATGTGGCTACTTTGAAGTTGGGGCTGTGTACCTTGTGATCTTCATCACAATTGGAGCCTTTGTGTTTGCAAACCTTGTAGTGGCAGTGGTGGTCACTAACCTGGTGAGTTCCTCTCCAGTTCAGTTGTCATTGAGGACTTTGTCTCTCTTTTACGCCAATTTACCCTTATCTTCAGACATTCCTTTGGCAGATAATAATACAATATGGCAGATTTCCACATTTAGACTACTATAGAGGCAGCCAATTACACCCTCTCTACCTGCTTTCTTCTTTCTCTCTCTGGTTTATTCCCTTTTTCTCCCTCTCTTACGTACCTCTCTTCCTCTCTCTCTCACTCCTTGCTCCTTTTCATCCCCTTCTCCCTTTCCTCCGCCCTCCCTCACCCCTCCCTCACCCTCCCTCTCCCTCTCCCTCCCTCTCCCTCCCTCCCCTCCCTCCCCCTCCCTCCCCCTCCCCTCCACACAGGAATGGGCCATTGCAGAGCAGAAGGGAGGAGACCAGAAACACCAAAAGTCTGCAGACTCTGAGAAGATAAGGACAGTCGATGCTCACCAGGCCCTCATGAGACTGGCCCGCCAGCAGACACCTCTGCAGGTGCCTCAACTCTCTCTGGACACTCGCTGTCTGGAGAAATATTTCCTCCTCCTCTCGGCCCTGGAGGACAATCTCGTGGAGTTCAGGAGACTTGTGGACACTCTGAACGAAGTACGTAAGGAAACTCCAACATTATACTACAGTGTAACCTCCAATGTAAATAAAGGAAACTTCCAACATTGTATGAACGAGTAAGAAAACTAACTCCAACGTTATAAGTAAACTCTAATGTTATATGAATGAAGTAAGTAGAGTACAATGTTATACTACGAACAAAGTAAGGAAACTACAATGTTATAAGAATGAAGTAAATAAACTTCAACGTTTTACTAGAACAAATGCAGCACATTTTGACGAGCGAAGTGATAGAATCATGTAAACACTACTGTATATATATGCATTGCCTTACAGAGTATAGGTATTTTAGTTATACATATATGCAGTTGGCCGTAACTTTCACGATATATGATGTGCACCATGATAATTCAAGGGCATGATTAAGTGTCAAAAATGAATAAGTATTCAGATGAACACCTCTCTAAAGACACCCCTGAAATCTCTTACCTTTAGGAGAGCAGCTTTTTCAATCTTCCCTGAATGAAAATTTCTTCTGGTGCACCTGGTGGAAGGGTTCCACTGTATATACTGTAAAAACAGCAACACTCGTTTGAGTGAATGTGTTGTCTCTGTATGTATAGATCACGCAGGAGATCCGCACTCTTGCGTCACTGGAGGATGCAAGTGAGGCGGAGATCTACCAGTTGGGGGGGATGACTGGTACGCACGTCTCCCCCACCAGCTCCTCCCAATCCAAACGAGCCACACCCAGAAACAGACGTCTCTCCAGCTTGGTCAGTGTTATACATTAGCACACGTACGACAACACGTAAAAAAACTAAAACGTGATGTCTTACTTAACATGGGAACAAATCTGTGATTCGTATCCACACATGTATGTACCGTATATACCGTAATTGTCTAATGTGGTTTTGAATGTATTAAGGTTTAGGGGATCTCCTGTCACTTTTCAGTGACTCTTGACAAATCGATTTGTGAGCCATTAGCGGCTGGATGTATTTGTTTCACTACAGGTGTTTCAGAGTTACGTAATCATCCAGTGACCATCCCATCTCTCTCTCTCTCTCTCTCTCTCTCTCTCTCTCTCTCTCTCTCTCTCTATGCGTGCATTTCATCTGTGAATAGAGAGATAGTAACACTCATTATAACACAAAAGGAGGAAATGTGATAGCTGAAGCATGGTGCATGAGTAATACATAGTCTGTGGTTTTTAATGAGGATAGCTAATGACGGGTACAGCACTGTTGTCCCACCCGATAATTCAGTAAGGATTTCCTGTTACTTTCCAGTGACTCCGGGTCAAAGAATTCGTGCACCAGGCAAATTGAATTAGTTTCGCCATGGTATTTCACAGCTAGTCATAATAATACTCACTATCCCATATCTATTGTGTGATCCCTTTGTATCTGGTCCAGTTGTGAAAGAGGCAATATATAGTGTCACACTCAATAATAGATAAAGGTACATTTGATACAAGTCGGGTGTCTGTGGCAGATGAGCGCCATCTCCACCCAGTTGATTCCATTGTCTTCGGACGGCGTTACACTCCCATTTTGAGGTTTGCCTTTGTCTCAGTGTTGAAGATTTTTACCCCTACCTGCTGGTAATTAGCTCAGCTGGTATATAGCTCAGCTGGTAGAGCGCTCACTAGAGTGTCGTGGGTTCGAATCCCACCCGGGGCAGCTCTTCTTTTCCCTTGGGTTGTCCTGGGTGTCGTTTCCTGCCTTTCGCCTTGCTACCCAACAACATACGGTTGGATTTGCCTTGTGTCCAGCCCTGCGTGCAGAGTCACACTGGTGTAGTTCAGTGGGGCGGGTTTTATGGTTCCAGAACCTCCGATGAAGAATAAAGACAAAGGACACAATGAAAATAACCTCTCAATAAGCACACTTAAAGTAAAGGACTTTAAAGTTAAGGTTCCAAACATTCACTTTTCTAACCTCCAAAGAGAGGACAGCCAAATGCCTGGTCCCAAATGTGTGTCCATTATTCGGAGGTTCCACTGTAGTGTCCCACTCAGGGTAAAGTTTTTTATCCTGGGCGGCACTCACGCTGCCTATGATCCACACACTTCAGCCCACACCAGGCGATGCTCGTCGCACTGATGATATCCCTCCAAAAGGCAGAGCAGAGAGAAGATGAAGGAGAATGGTCCTCAGGTTGGAGGGGG